GAAACTTTAGGTAATAATCTTGTTGCATAGTATGTTAATGACCACCTTTGGATAATCCCATTCAAAAGCAATTGGTCACTTTCTTATATCTATGAACAGACCATAACTACTAACTTGGAGCAGACCTAATATAGAGCAATACGATTTAGAAACGACAAAAATAATTACCAAATTCGGTAGAAGTATGCAAAAAAATCAAATTTAACAAATAACGCTAATTAGTGTTAAGTAAGTCATTACTACTATCACCTTTGACGATATTACTATACAGTTTCAGGGATAACTAGTTTTGAAAGCCAGGACTGAACGTAGATCTGTTCCGAAGGATGTTGAAAAGAATATAGTTCATACACAACTAACCAATATTAGTGGAAATTTTTATTATTAAGATAAGAAGATTATTAAGCGTTTTGGTCCATTGAAACGAAAATTTAGTGCATTAATGAATTTTATTTGGACAATTTCTAGAGCACTTCTTACCATGCTGCACTATAATGTAATTAAAGAAGCTGGGTTCTTAATGCCTTCAGTAGAATAATTGCTTTCCTAATGATAGCCTCTATATGGGACTTTAACAACAGTTTAGAGAGAATAACCCCTAAACCTTTAGCAACGTTAATTCGTTTTAATAATATATTGTTTAATTTTAAATGTACATTGGGATTTCTTGAAAAGTTCGGCTTAGAAAAACCTATGCACTGACATTTATCAACAAATCGGACCGCACTACTCAGAAAATCTGTTCAAGTCCGCCTTCAAATTTGCCATGTACAAAGGTGAATTAACGACAACGTATGTACACTGAGAGAGGACAATGCAAGTTCCGATATCATAAACATAAAATAAAGAGCAAGGGAACCAAGTGTGAACCCTGCGGAACCGCAAAAGTCACATCCACGCAAGCTGATCTTATGCCACTAACAGCAACATACATAGTTCTATCTTGCAAATAATTTTTTAAAAGGTCTAGCAGAATGAACCTTCTCAAAGGTTTTGGTTTTAGTATAAGCGATGCAGATATCACGACCATTCTCCATTGGACTGACGCTCATAGAAACTATGTTGATGACTGTCAATGTGATTTTTAATTTGAAATAACCAGCATTACCTCTGTTCCTGTTGTCGGTTTTGTAGATCGAAATGATATGGACAATCTTCTATTTTTCCGGAAAAATTCCTATGGACTGAATTTTGAAAATAGTTTCCGAATAAATAATAACATGACACTTCTGAATAAGCTAGTTCGGTCCAAAGAGAACTTCTATTAAATTGTGAAAACTGCCGTAGGTTGAAAAATTAACCATCATCAGCATCTTATAAATCTCAGACGAAAGCAATTTGCTACGCCAATGCTTGTCAATGTGAAATCTAGTCCGATCGTTGCCCGCGGCAAGGTAACCTTTTGTTTTTATTGCGTTTATTAAAATTGTTACAGAAACCAGAAACGGGGAGGTAAATATAGTGACGGAATTATGTTAGCTACGCCGTCCGGTATAAAAAAAAATGGTAAACTTGATTGAAAGCAGTCGCGCATATGGAGGACGAAGACTTGTGTCTTTTATAAAACATGTAAAAGAATAACGTTCCTATCGTTACAATCCGATACTACTTATAACGACATATACAACAAATAAGGCTCGCATTAAAATCTCCAACAAGTTTTTGAAATTTTCCAAACGTAAACCATAACTGACCATTTCTAATCGCCTTTTCACTATATATGGAGGGAAATGAGTCGCAACTTGTCTTTGTACCACAATGAAAATCTTTTTATTTACTTATTTAAGGACAATTATCCATTTTACAAAAAATTAAAAAAAAATCGTTAATTACAAACAACAAGACGTTAATATGACTTTTAGGCCTACCGACACATGACACATGACATGGACAGTCGCCCAAATAGCGTATCGTCTTAAACACAATTTGAAGAAAATCAGGAAAGTCAAAATTACTTAAAAATAATAAGGGGTGAATCATCATCATCTCTATCGTCGTGTCAACCTTTGTTTAAATTTGTTTAAAAAAGTTGCGACTTCTATTACGTCCACTGGAAGCCATCCCGAATAACGAAGTGATTTTTGCTATAAGACTCACTGTTGATCAGATAAATATTTCTAACTAACCAAACCAAACCAAAACTTGCAGCTTCAACAAGTATATAACGACCACAATTAATAGATTGTGCCTTCTAAAGACCACCCGACATGACTCACTGTACTTCAAACCGAAAATGAGACGAGACGCAGAATTGTCTGTAAAATAGACACACGGCCAATTATCGCACGATTGCCCCTATATAACATAGTTATATTATAAGACAGGGTGGAATAGACTAAAGAATAATTAACTGCCATAATGTTATTAAGATTTACTGCACGTAGTTTTCGCGATGTGATTAACCCTGGCTAGTTTCTAGTCCAGCTAGGAAACTGATATATTTTGTTAGTCGAATTTGGTGGCCTTCAAAATCAAAGACCTATGTAATGTATTCCCGGAGATCATTTATGAATATTAACGAAACGAAAAATAGTATCCTTTACCTTTAAAGTGATCTTCCTGGTGGTATTCATTTTTCCTCTGATGTCTAAAAAAGAAATTTTTGTAAACTGCGCACATCCCTTTGGACTTGAAGTTTTTTGTAATTGCTATTCTACTCCATGCTATAGGTATTGCTGATACTAATAGATGTTTTATTTTACGCTATTATAGGTTTTGTTTGTACTACTCATATTCAGTCAGTATTTTCACTCAGGACTGGCTTCAGTCATCTCAAATTAGACGGTTTGGAACAAAGTATTATTTATGAATTGCTCATTCTTAGTTTTGTATATATACGGGGGTTGCCTTTTAAGTTTTTACAAAAAATAAAACAAAAATTAACGAGTTAGAAACAAGGTGTTTTATTGGTTTTCAAAATATTCACCATTACGCTCAAGCCAATTCTGGAAACATTTTTTCTACCCTGAAATGATTGTTGTGGGCATTGTGTGGGATTAACTGGATGTTCTTCTCCTTCAAATATTCAGTTGTTTGATGTGCTTTATGGGAACTATCATATTTTTTTGTTCTTTTTGTAAGAGAAGCCTGTATCTGTCTGTAAGTACATGCCGAGATCTTTAACCATGACCAGGACAAAATTCTGCGAACTAATTGTAAAGAGTCTTTTCTGATGGCGCTTCATTACCAAAAGTTGCATAAAACGATTCTATACGTTGCTTCCGTCTGTTTGTTCTAGACTCATGAAAGCCACCTATTGTTCGATAGTAAGAAGTTACTTTTGCCTTAAAATCTCTAAAATCTAATGCCGACATCGTAATCCTAATGACAGATAAAGGAAATCCTACGGTGATCATGAACACAAATGAATATTAGGAAAAGATTTAAGATATTCTTACAGACGGATCATATCGTCAATTTAAAAAAGATCCTCCGTCATCTAACCAACCTAACGCAACCTTAAAACTGTTATTAAGGCTTCTTCTCTATCAGACTCCCTCATGACTCTAAAATTCCTCGTCTCTACGGACTCCCAAAGATCCACAAACCAGGATTACCGCTTAGACCTATTGTTAGCACTATTGGTTCTCCAACATATACTTTAGCGAAATATCTAGCTTCTTTATTAAAACTCTTTACAGGGAAAACTGATAGTTTCGTACTTAATTCTTTTCACTTCATTGAACAATTAAAAACCATTACATTAGATACACAAGATATTCTGGTCAGTTTCGATCCCTCTTTACTAAAGTTCCTATTTCTGAAACTCACAACATCATTTCAGATATATTAAAATTCGAGAATCCGGAACCAAACCTTCTCACCTTAATTGAAAAATGTTTGTCAGGAACATACTTTTCGTATAACGGTCAAATTTTTGAACAAACGTCGGGAGCAGTTATGGGTTCTCCATTATCACCAGTCATCACCAATATATTTATGGAAGCCTTTTAGAAGAAAGCTCTCGACAGATGCCATCCAAAACCAAAAAAGCTTCCTCGATGATACTTTTGTTATTTGGCTCATTTCTTAGACATTTAAACTCTATCCACCCTAACATACGTTTTACCATTGAATTAGAAACTAATAACAACCTCCCATTCTTAGATATTCTTATCAATGGAAAATCAGACCTAACATCGAGTCATTGTGATTACAGAAAACCTATGCACACAGACCGATACTTTAATACATTGTCACATCACCATCCGGCCCAAAAATCATTGGTTAGTTTACAGACCCGTAAAACTATCTCAGCCCGAGTCACTGAACCCAGAATTAAAACACCTTACCTCTGCTCTTCTCTCTAATAATTTCCACATTTAAGTTATTAATCTTTCCATCACAAAATACACTTCTCCAATAGCAATGAGGCCGAAAGCAACCCTACACTTGTCACAGTTGTCCTTTCATATATTCAAAACATCATTAATTAAGTAAATCAAAAGTTCTAAAAAAGTATAACGTCAAAACCAGATTTACCACTTGTCCAAAAAAAATTGAAATGCCAGGAGTTTACAGCATATGCGGCAAAGAATACATTGGAGAGACCGGACGAGAAATGTCAACTAGGCTCAAAGAACATGAAAAAGTCTCACGAGTACGACAAATAAACGCATCAGCAGTTGCCTAACACAATCACGAAAAATTTTATTCGATAAAATTAAGATTCTTGCATGTAATTAATTCTTCTACCAACGAAAAATCCGAGAGTCTATAGAAATCTATAAACAATCTAACAATCTTCTTTGCCTTTCACCAGTATGGGAATCAATCATCCGAGACAACGTTCATGCCTCCTTTAGCTCCGCCCCCTCCAAAATATATAAGCAGGTACAGAGCAAAATACGAGCCAGTTTCAGTTAAACTCTGAAGAAGCCAACAGTAGCCTACGGAAGTTTCTTTGAAAAGTTATTATTAATTTTCCCCGCACTTCTTGAAAATCCGCTTATAATCTAGTGGATATCATTTAGGTGACTTGTGGCTTTATTGTTTTACAGATGCAGTTTACGTTCCGACTGTCAAGATGCCGCGAAGGACCCTTTGTACTGGATCAGCTACAAAAGCGGCAGATGCACTACGATCACGTCGGTGATACCGAATCAGCTTCAAAGAACCACCGCGATAACCGTAAGTAATCAGAGATCTGCGTCAGGCTCGACTATCCGTCACGCCGTTTGTTCCGCTTCCAGCTGGACCTCGTCATCGAAAATCTTCCGAGCCTGAGTGGCAATTTTTTATGCGCGTTTACCGTCGACAAAACTCTGGTCTTGACCAACGCCACTCGAAAAGGGTCGGGGGTAAACTGTACGACACCCAGGACCGATTTGTTACCGTCGATACCGCCCGGTCAACGTTAGTAACGAAACAAAAACGAAACTTAATCGTTTTACGACTTACCTTCATCCTTGCAGATCATTTCACGGCGAAACTGTCGGTAAGGATGACGTCCGGTCCTGATTTCGTCGCGACGAATTTTACATTCTTCGACTGCAACACCTACAGCTCTTGCACGCAGTGCGTGTCGTCGTCGTTTCCGTGCGATTGGTGCGTGGACGGCCATCGATGCACCCACGATACGGCGGAAAACTGTCGAAACGACATTCTCGTCACCGGAGTCAGCGTAAGCTGAATCTAAAATTAAAAAAGACCCCCTCGTTAAATGCTTTTTTTAGAGGTCCGGTCCGAGTTACAGATCCGGACCCGCGTTTTGCCCCGCCATAAACGCGACGGTGGGTAATTCCCCGGAAATATTAGTCGCTTCCGGAATTAAGAAAGCGATCAAAGTGAAAGTGCACATTATAGGGCAGTTCATAGTACAAACTAGATTCGTATGTCAGTTTAATATTGAAGGGCGAGTGACTAGCGTTAACGCGCAACTTTTGGGAGATACGATTTATTGCGACGCCATGGAGTTCGCTTATTCGTCGAGGGCGCCGAATATCACCGCCACGTTCGCCGTTATTTGGGGCGGATCCAAACCATTAGATAATCCCGACAATATACACAGTAAGTTGAGACCTCGGGAGTTCAGAAAATTTAAATTTGGAAACTTAACCCTTTGCACTCGTATATATGTCCTTTCGCGAGTACAGTGTGCTCGGACTATTATTTTATCTACTTATCTGACTATTCCGATTTTTTTATATTTAATTTTTTTTTTAATCGCTTTATGAAAACTATGGGATTTTTTTTCTCAATGTTTTATGATTATTATCATAATCACTACCATTATTATTAAATTAATTCATACACAGTATAAAAAAATTACATCCTATAATGTAATGTATGATACCGTTCGAAGCAGTCACCAATGTATATGGGTGCAAGTGTCACAAATATACCTAGTTTCCTGCCTGTCGCCTTTACGTTTAGAACATATCGCACAGTCTTTATACTTTCCATCATTTTGGCGTAAAATATGTAATTTACCATTGAGCCGCGCCGAAAGTTTGTTGTCATCTCGTCACCCAATTCCCGAACTAACTTTAGATGTGTCACTGGTTTTTTGTTTTGGCCCCGTTGTGAAATTTTATATAGTAAATATGCATTGATATTGACATTTCGAGACCCCAGAAAAAAAACTTTCGCCACCACTTTTAAAGACTTCCTCAGGAAACAGTATGATAGATGTGATGGAATCGCAAATTAAATTTGCGGTTGATTTGAATAGTACCTGTGAAGCTCGTATAGTATCTATCGATGTAAAAATGATATCCTCTACATCCTGGGTTATTGTTTAATAATTTTTGACACAGATGTAACACTATCATTGTACTTACAGGTACATCAGATCTCACTAAATCTTCCGATGTCAAGCTTCCTTCCTTAATACGGCTTGTTAGGATTGTAAGTTAAAAAACTAATTTTTAAAAACAGATTCGTCTACCGATATCTCTCTTCATGGAACAAAATGTTCTTTGAATTGCTTCTCCAAATAATCTAAATAGTGACTGACTTTCTTAGTTCGAACCCTAAGAGAGATGGCATGCAAGTGGAGCATACAAAAAAATTGTAAAAATCGTTGTCTTCTAAATATGCTACTACAAAGAGTATTTTGGCGTTAGATTGTTGTGACCAATACTCTTGGAAATTAGATAAGATTATCGTACCCATATTTAGGACAACCCCAATAAATGCGGTAAACTCTTCTAGTATCTACCCACGTTTTGACAACCTCTTCTGTGCTATTTTATATCTAGCGTAGTTATTTTTTGTTCCACTATTTTTATTATTAGTTCATCGGTAAAAAAGAGCTTGAAAAAATTTATGAAATTTGTCTACTGGTGTCACTAATATTATCACTATCCAATCTATCATTTTCAGGGGCGTCAATATAAAATTCGTCGTCACTAGTTTGCAATTTATTTTCAATTTCATATTTTCAAAATTTCTTGGGCATTTGAAAAATTTTTTACCCAATCCAGTTAGTTATAAAACCGAGTAATATTCAAAATGCAAAAATGTTGCACATGCGAACTGACGTGGCTGAAATATATCAACATCAACAGATATAAAACAAACAGCTTACGATGGCATGTATAAAATAAATATCATGCTATCTCTTATTTTTACGTAAACAGGTCTTCAACGGAGATTCAAGAAAGCAATTCAGAAATATTAGAAATGAGCTTAGCGGATGACAGACCGGCCAACCTGTTGTAATGATACGTCATGGTGTGCCACCTATACGGCGACATACGAGTGCAAAAGGGTTAATAATAATAATAATAATAATATTACTTTATTGCCAACTAAATCATTATACAATAAGTCACAACATATTTACAACTTCACAAACACTTACAACCTAAAATCAAAATTATAGAAACATTTGTCCAGAAGCCATTTGTAATGGGCAACCTTTGACATGTTGTTTAAAAGTAGTGTTCATAGTTTTTAACGATAGATATCGGACATGAAATAATGCGATATTGTAATTAGAATACAATTTTACAAAATTGATGCAACATTATAATTAAATCGTGAAATTTGAAATTACGAAAGTTATATAAGAACATCGAAATCAATGAGACACATGAGCTTGAATTTGGGATTGGTTTAATTCCATATATACAATAACTTAAAGAATTTTCCAAATTATCGTCAATCAAGGGGTTCTTAATCTGAACCGACAAATCGCCTTACATTTGTATAATCGAATAGAAAAGAACATTACACTTACTACAATGAAATTTGTCATAAAATTAGACTCCTTTATTTTAAGGTTTAGATGCTTAACCTTGAAATAAAGGATATAAATAATTTGTATTTATTCAAAATTATTTGCACTTTTAGAAATGTATAGAAATCAAAACTCTTTACGTCGTCTAAAGCTAAAGAAATATCTCTCTCAATGTTTGCTTTTATGTCAATAGACAACATTTTTATTCTACGGACAATGGTTCGTCTTCTAACATTCCTTAATAATTCACCTTCGGAAAACGGTTTTAATAACTTTGCCAATTTTGAACTAACTTTAAAACTAGCTTTGAATAAAATAATATTCAATAATATACACGAGGTCCAAATTACCTTTTTAAAATGCATATTTACTACCATCTACGGTGCATTTTCTAAAGTAATGAAGAACACAAATAATCTATCGGAAAGTGACATAAGGAAAGCCCTCTTATAATTTTTGCCAAAAAAATATATGGTTCCCGGATTAATCTACTTTTTTGTCACACCCTGTGTATAATTTTCCCATTGAGGTTCAAGAGTTGATGAATTACAGGACGGTGTATGTAACTCGAAAGTTCCAACTATATCAGTTGGTTCCCCAAACTCTTCAAGTTTCAGTCAAGAACAAGTCAATATATACCGCGTCAATATGTTCTGTAAATATTTTTTCACCTTATTGTTAGCATAAATTTACAAGAAATTACATTCATCACGATTTCCTCCATAGCCGCGTCGAATTCCACTTGAGTTAAATACCTCGGAAATGCCATATTTTATGACCTGTAACGTTCACTGCACAAGACACAAACTAATACTAAAAAACACGCTAATTATTGGACGTTTATTCTACATGCGCTGACTTGTCAAGACTTACAATAACAAAGTTTTGTTTCACCGATAAAACCAGCGGTGCATTTACGCACCAGTAGATATTTTCAAAAAATAAAGCTTAATCAATATATTATTTCCAATGTATGTTTTCTGCTATGTAATCTACATGGTATAGACTTAACAAAAATGGCAATGCAAATCCAAAATATTTTTTTACTATTTTGGATTTACTTGAAAATGTGATACAAATTTATGTACCGCTTTTGTTAACTTTTGAAGTCATATATAAGATCTTTCCTTTACACATAAAGTAGCGATTTCTACGGTTTTATGTCCTTTAGTCGTGATAATAATAAAGTTTCTAAATGGATGTGCAAAAATATTTCCAGTATGTGACAAAAAAAAATTATAAAATAGGTGGTGCATTAACTGCACTGGGACAAAATGGGTTAATTTAATATCCATAAGTACTTCAGCATCTCAAACCAAGTTGACCAGTGGTATCTCATCCGAGTTGCTCAGTACGACCTATTTCATTTTAGTCGTGATCTACCGGTGCCACGACATGGCCGACAACTGTGGCATTTGCTTAGCATTGTCAGAAAAATATGACTGCGGATGGTGTCAAAGTTCAGACAGGTGCGAAGTGAAAGAACAGTGCGAAAGAGGATCGGCTGTATGGCTTAATAGAAGTCAGACGTGTCCCAACCCAGAAGTGACGTCATTTAGCCCGGAACTCGGTCCCTGGGAAGGTGGTACCAACATTACGATACAAGGAATTAACTTGGGCAAAACGTTCCAAGACATTTACACCGGAGTGAGCATCGCTGGTATCAACTGTCAACCGTACGAACATTTGTATATCAAAACGAAACAAATTGTTTGCATCGTAAGTTGAACAAGTTTCACAACGCGGTTGTTAGTTCTAATATTTTACGGCGTTTAAGGTGGACGGCCCGGGAACCAAAGAACCTCGACAAGGGCCGGTAACTGTCAAAGTTGAAGACTACCGGGGTGAATCGAAAACTCATTATAGATTCGTGGACCCCGTGATCACTGGGATATCACCCAGATACGGCCCCAAATCTGGTGGTACTGCACTTCAGATAACCGGAGAGTATATGAATGCCGGCAGTAACATTCAAGCGTTTCTCGAAGACTTGCCATGCAAAATTGTATCGTAAGTACCATACCAATTTTTGAATATAATTTTAATTAAAATTCTACGAAATAAATGGTTCAGTTAAATTATTAACTTTTCATGGCATGTAATTATAACAAAAGCTGTATCGGCAATAGACCAAAATATTCAAGATCGAACATTCTACATGAGTAATCTGAAAAACGCATCTCCCCTTCCTGATAGATTATCTCCCCTTTTCATTGCCCTAAAGAGCAGGTAATTTTATGAGGCAATATCCCACGGATAACTTATCAATATCTCCCAATACGCTGAATAGAGGAAATAAATTCCTTTCAAGTCATTTAGCAAATAATTAATTTTGTAGGGGTCTATTACGCAAGTGCGTTTTTCGAAGTCATAACAAAAAATCGAATCAGTTCCATCAAAAATCACCGAAATCAATGAAATTTCTTTATAGCACCGAACAAAATCAGGCGCTATGTATTACCAGTACGTCGGACAAAACATCCAAAAAGAAACTGAGGATGAAATTCGACAAAGGCGATCGGTATCTCGAAAACATGTATTTTGAGTACGTAGAAGATCCGGTAATCGAATCGGCTGAATCTGGCGTCCAAACTGGTCAGATTAAAGTCCCCAAAGGTATACCGGCGGGAGGAATCAAAATTTCCGTAACTGGTAAAAATCTGGCGTACATTCAGAAACCGCAGATGTATGTTTTCTACGAAGGGAAAATGTTTATAAGCGTAAGCCAGCTTTTCGAACACTAATGCGCGTGTGATACCTACGTCATTTTTATTTCGCTGCAGGAATGTACAGTGCTGAGCAATACGAGCATGATATGCAGCAGTCCCGTGATCGATGAAGTCGATGAATCCAAGTTGAATGCGGACGAACCCCTGAGGCTAGAGTACGGATTTCGAATGGACAACGTTACCGGTGTGCAAAACCTGACGAAAAACAAAAACTTTAACCAATTCCTACTGTATCCCAACCCCATCTTCTACCCGTTTGAAAAAGAAGTGAAATACTACAAATCAGACTATTTAAATATCAACGTAAGTAACGCCACATGTTGAACGAATGAATTTGAAGGAAGCGTTTCAATTTCAGGGGCAAAACATTGATAGAGCTTGCCAGGAATCTGATGTTGAAGTAAGAATAGGAACCAGTTACTGCAACGTTACGTCGTTATCTAGGCAGCAACTTACTTGCCGGCCACCCGAAACTCAACCCCCGGCAATAGACGATCAGGGGATTCCCAGCGGAGAAGCGTTACCAGAAGTGGTGGTGACAGTTGGTGGTACTTTAAGATACAACATTGGTCACCTTTCATATTCGTCACCGCAGAGTATAAATGGCACTTTGACCAAACCAACATTATACGGGGCTATCGTCATCGGTATAATCATATTGGTATCGTTCATCTTGTTCCTAATCGCTTATAGACGGAAATCAACCGAGAGTAACCGAGTGTTGAAGAACATGCAGGAACAAATGGATATTTTAGAGCTGAGAGTCGCTGCCGAATGCAAAGAAGCGTTCGCCGAGCTTCAGACCGAAATGACAGACCTCACCAGCGACCTCACGTCCGGAGGTATACCGTTTTTGGATTACCGCACGTACGCCATGAAAATATTATTCCCTAACGTTGACGACCACGCCGTTCTCCAATGGGAACGCCCCGAACTCATATGCAAAGAAAAAGGACTGAGACTATTTGGCCAACTTATCATGAACAAAACGTTCTTGCTTTTGTTCATTAGAACGCTGGAAAGCAATAGATACTTCTCCATGAGGGACCGGGTGAACGTAGCAAGCCTAATAATGGTCACCTTGCAAAGTAAAATGGAATACTGCACGGATATACTGAAAACTCTACTGGCTGAGCTGATCGAAAAATGCATGGAGGGCAAAAGTCATCCGAAACTGCTTTTAAGAAGAACCGAAAGTGTGGCGGAAAAAATGTTGAGCGCTTGGTTCACATTCCTTTTGTATAAATTTTTGCGGGAATGTGCGGGAGAGCCTTTGTTTATGTTATTTAGAGCCGTTAAACAGCAAGTAGATAAGGGACCGGTGGACGCTATTACTTCCGAGGCTAGGTATTCACTTAGCGAAGAGAAACTTATAAGACAATCAATAGATTTTAGACCGATGGTAAGTTTAATTTTTTACGTCAGAAATACGCGATTTAACATTTGACTTATAATTCCAGACTGTATATGTGTCCATATCCCAACAGGCATTTGTGGGGGGTGTGGATATAAATACCGAAAATATTGCTGTGAAAGTGTTGGATTGTGATACTATTAGCCAGGTTAAAGAAAAATGCTTAGATACTATTTACAGAGCCACTCCTTACTCGCAGAGACCTAAGAAGGAGGATCTCGATTTAGGTGCGTTGTACCTACGTCTACAAAGCTAAAATAAATTTATTCCATTTTATGTTACAGAATGGCGTACTGGCACCTCAGGAAGACTAATATTGTATGATGAAGATAGTACTACAAAGATTGAAGGGGAATGGAAGAGGAGAAATACTCTTCAGCACTATAAAGTACCTGATGGGGGATGTTTGAATCTAGTATCTAAACAAAGTTCGATTTACAACTTAAGCATATTCTCCGACAAGAACGACAAATCGCATAAGTATGAAACATTAAATCTTGGCAAGTTAAGCTCCGTCAGCCCGCCCCTGAGCAGGGCCACGAGCCCTTTGAATCACGACCACGACCAAGGGCTCAAGGTTTGGCATTTAGTCAAACACCACGACAATGATAACCAAAAGGAAGGTGAAAGGGGCAACAAAATGGTGTCGGAAATTTATCTGACTAGACTTCTAGCCACAAAGGGTACTCTACAAAAGTTTGTAGATGACTTGTTTGAAACAATATTTAGCACAGCTCATCGAGGATCTGCTCTACCCCTTGCCATTAAATATATGTTCGATTTCCTTGACGATCAAGCATTGCAACATGGTATCAGCGATCCTGAAGTTGTGCACACGTGGAAAAGCAATTCCCTTCCGCTTAGGTTTTGGGTTAACCTAATCAAGAATCCCAATTTTGTGTTTGATATTCACAAATCGAATATTGTGGATGCTTGTTTATCTGTCGTTGCTCAAACGTTTATGGATTCATGTTCCACGTCTGATCATAGATTAGGTAAGGAGTTACAATATTATTTTCACGCAATTTTTGGATCTGGAGTGTAATTTAAATTAGCAAGTCTGTAGCACGTTTTTTATCGAATTTTAAGTAATAATGAAACACAAAACTCTAAATGCATTTTTAATAGAAGACCATTCACACCAAATTCTGGAATGAACCTATGGTGTTTAAATTAGAAGTTTTTGTATGAACAGTAATGATTCAAGTAATGTAAAGGTGGTTAAGTTATTGACAAGGACTTCCAATATGACGTTTTTAATTAACCTCAACACCACCGGACACACTTGAGCAGCATTATGAAAATAAATTTTCAAAAAACTAAGAACCAGATGAACCATCATTTTATTAACATCCTATATTTTCGTCTATCAATTTCAGACACAAAACGTAATCCCTCACACTGAAATAAAATGTATTTTACGCGCATATAACTCTTGAGTGCCTTTTCGAATTTCTACTTGCATGGGGGCGGTCACGCGTCATATATAATTCGGATGCATACATTAATATTGGACTAATTTGATTTCAGGAAAAGATTCCCCTAGTTCTAAACTTTTATACGCTAAAGATATACCTTGTTATAAAGATTGGGTTGAACGGTACTATTCGGATATCAAAATGATGCCAGCTATTTCAGACCAAGACATGAACGCTATGCTAGCAGAGGACTCTAGGGTAAAATATTTCTTTCATAGCTGCGGTCCTTTTTATTCCTATCTGGATTTCAGCTACACACAACAGAATTTAATACAAACTGTGCCCTGCACGAACTCTACCTGTACGCCATGAAATACAACGAACAACTAACAGTTACCTTAGAAGAAGACGAATTTTCCCAAAAGCAGAGATTAGCGTTGAAATTGGAACAGGCGCACAATATAATGAACGAAGTGGGGCAACCATGATATTGGCCTGACCTGACGTGTCAGTCAGCCGAGCTTGATCTGATGTGTACATCGGATGACTTGAATCTGATGCTCAGAGCATCGGCTGAAGTAGATCTGATGCGACCTTCAGCTCCCCCCCTCTCGCCTGTCATTTCGGCACCTCAGGAACTGGCTTGCTGATAAACATTATCCAACAAATTAGTCCAGGACTCATTCATGACACGTACCAGACTTTTGGGTTCTCAGAATTTTGTTTTTTTGAGGAAATAATAAACTTTCAAGTGAACTGATGTGCATAAACTTAATAAAACTCTGTTTGAAATTGGCTCAATGGAGGACCATTGGGTGCAGAAGACAAATGCTCACTTTGTTGTGCCTTGATCAATTAGAATGTTAAAAACACCGATTATTGTCAAAATCTCAAAAATTATTCTCAAGAAAAATACCTGAGATTTTGACAAATTAAGCGCACAATACTTATTTTTCAGTTACGTGCCAGGTTGGAATTAGACATATTTTTTGAGAAGATTGCTTTTCTGACAATAAAATGAACTTGGAAACTTCCTAACCTCACAGACTCTGTCCTACAAGTGTCTATCATTTAATAAAGCTTCTCGAAACCATTCTCACGATGCTGTGTTGGCTTTCAGTGTTTGGTGTGATACTGCTGCTTAGTAGAGTATTTCACGCGATAACATATCTTCTCATTTTTTCGAATTCATGTTGTCGAATCAGGCATAAAAAAACGGAAAGCACAATTAGTGTAATCATGAAAACAAAATAAGGTGTTCTCCAAGATATGTATAGTGGTTATGGTTGAGCACTGGACTAAACTATACATATCCCATCAGACTAATTTCTCTGTATGTTACGAAATTGCTGTCGTGCAATTATTAATTGTTCAGTGTATATGCCGGGGACAGTGCTCTCACTCAGTGACTCGCAAAAGTGCCTCTGGTAGAATTGAGTGATTGACTGCCTCCAAAAACCAAATGAGTGTACTATATTTTTATGATAACAATTTAGAATTATGCTTCATTGTGCTGATTCTCAGCCTTAGTCCATATTACAAGATTAACTGGAATATCAAATTAATCATGCTTTTTTAAAATTCGCGTAACGGTTATAACTTTGTTTTATTTTTTTTTTCTTACATTTAGTTGAATGTGTGCATAATGTCTACATATTATTGGTACCTCAAATCCATGTTTGAATAATTTTTCTTTGAGAGTAATGGAAGCCCAACTGCATTTCAGGGTGTAACGACAAATTGAAATACTTCTACATCGGGAGAGATCAACTGGTATTAGATGTTATACATACAATTTAAAAGCAATCATTGATGATTGTCTTCCGAAAAAGGAAGCAGCAGGGTGGTAGTATTACTCGCGACCTTCAATCATTGGATGTCTCAATCTATACATACATACTATGCACCGATCGTTTCAATGTGGTTTGTGTGTGTGTAATAAGGCTGTGTACGTTTTTTTGTGAACAAACCAGCAAAATATATACAATATTAAATAAGTTGCCGCACTAACGATTATTTGGACAGTGCCGCTGCCGACAGCTATACGCATTCGTTCCACTTAAAGGTTCGTCGTTTCTTTTAAAGCAGGGTGTTAATACAATTCTTACGACGTCGCCAATTTCCTCTAGCTTTCAAAGTTAAATGTACTTCGCAAAATAATTAATTACCTTCATTGGGCATTTATCGGACTTGTTCGGATACGTTATATACATCTTATTCGTTTGCTTTGTTTTCCTTTTGTTTATGATTGCACTGTTGTATCTGAAAAAGATTGCTACATGCCCATATCGAATTTTGTGAAATTGTTATTTTCTTTACTAGTCAAGTCAATTTCAATTTTGATTTCTTCCGTTTTGACAATATCGTAAGGAGTATCGATCAAAATTATATTGTCAAAATAGTTGAGAAAACACGCGATTATTTGAACTATCTTGAAAAACATTACTGAATGTTTCTAAACCACTTTTATATATAAATAAGAATAAAAATACTCATTAAGGAATAACAGCTTTAATACTTATTGATAATATTTTAATATTCTTTCTGACCAAACGATTTTGATATAGTAAATAGATCATTTTTAAATCTTATATACTGCCTATATAGTTTTTAAGATATATATTATGTAACTTATTGCATTCCTTTTTAGTGAGAAAATCTTATGTATGTATAGCTCTTTTTACCTATGAATGATTCTAGATCTAAACGGATCAAACGAAACATTCAGTAATTTATTAAGTGGCAATATCTATATTTCATTTACCTTATATAACTGTTTTAGTTAGTTTTAAATTTAATACTATAGGTGTTGTCGAAAGAATAATAATTCAGATGATCATGATGTATATTGTAACTCTAGAACGATTGTTTTGTAGACCGGAATTAATACAAAACATACTCCAAAGTGTAGTCAATATATGAAACCAGACAGTAATGGTTAACAAAAATTAGTAGGAAACACACGGCGCAACTATCTGTGTTCATATGTTGAGTAAACTAGAAACTGCCAGTTGAAAATTTTCCGCCATTTTATTTGCTGTATTAGTAGACTAATTGAACCGTTTATTCGCTGTAAACTTTATTAAGGGAACAAAAAAAAATGTATAAATAATTGTGTTATTTTTTAAAATGAATTGGGTATCCAAAATTGTATTTTCATTAATGGTTATGAATGTTGTCACCGTCCTTATTGGAACAATGTATTTCTCAAATTAGCTTACGGACAGCTACGCATATCAATGTCCAGAGTTAGGCACTTTGTATTTTTTTATTGATATCTGTAAAATCATTTGTTTTTATTTTTTTTATCTATTATTTTAAGTATTGTAAATAAAAATTTTTATGCCAAAAAAATCTGCTTCTGGACAACTGCATAGTAAGAATTGTAAATACTAAATGTACGTATGTAAGTATGTGAGAGAATGAATAATGTGTTTATATGTACGCATCTCCGATATATTCATAGTACTGTGTGTATATCCGATTGCATCTGCAATAATATGAATGGTAATGTATTACTATATGTTATTATAAAAGACTGAATGGAGTTACTAAACTACTTAATAGAAAAATATTAACGGACTTTTTTTTACCCTTGCACCAATGAAACAAAAAAACAAATACTAAAAAAGCATATGAACCATTAGTTTGTAAACTTAAAACTCGGTACACAGTAAGTTATGACTTTCATTTAAAAAATATACATATAAACGAACATACTACAGAAAAGTTAATATACATTCAAGCGAAGTTTCTTGCAAAACAAAATAAAATATATTCTAGAATTTTGCTGAAAACTGATTGGGTTCGACAAAGTTAATCAGTTTGTAGACAATTTTGGACAGATTGCTGACAGAAAAAAAATAACACACGTGACTTCCCAACAGAACAATAGTGGCCACTTTAAAAAACTAAAGCGTAGGCTTTTATACAACGGAATACAGTATGAAGAATAATCTAAACAACATGAAGAGGCATCAAATGTGTAGGTAGCTAAAAGAAGGAAACATTATAAGAGATATTGTAATGTGGTTGCTTTGGAACAGATGTTTAACTCCGTACTCATATAATAACCATTTTTAATAGCGAAAGTTCCCAGAAATCTGTGCTTTAGAAATTTTAATATGTAAAATATATATATTTCTATATATATGTATATATTCACTCTACTATAAATGAACGAGAGTGGTGCACATATCAGAAGCACAACCTTTTCAAGGTCTTCAGATTCTAAAGTCACTTCGTGCCAAACTGGAAGTGACAACCAGCCTGAATCGTTATTAACAATTAGAATTCAAATTTAACAACTACCAGACTATATAATTATAATATTAATAAAACCACTAATAAATCTATTAACAGGGGGAAGCTTTCAAAGCTATGACAATAAGTAAAAAAATGTTAGAAATATTTTTCTTTCTGTTAATAATGACGCAAACTTCTTTTGTTACTCCTGTTAAAGAAACCTTTATAATAAATGGAACGGATTCTAACTGCCGTTTGTAGATGGCATGTTAAAAAAAATAGCTTTCCGGACGCTCTAATTTTCTGTTACACCAAGCGGGATGGATCTAAATTAATGCGCGGTGGGCTTAGCTCTAGATCTATTTGATCTATTGAGATTTGGGTAAATATGCAAACCAATCATTACCACCAATTACCTAGCCCCCTCCCAATTGTTTGTTTTGGCACAGGATCGTCATGGCTTCCATCGATCAGCTGGCTGAAACTTTCATTCACGCAAATTTAAATAAACGTGTGTCAGTTTTACTTATTTAGTTTTACTACTCATATATTCCACACGCACTATTGGGGTAGAAAATATCCGATTCTGTTTTACACGATATTTTACAACTTTTTTCATAGATTTTACTGTCAATTTGCTTTGACGTGTACATTTGACGACATTCGTGTGGGTGATTAGCACAAACGTTTTATTTAGTGACTTGTTATTCTGCACGCTGCTTAGACACCGTCCTTCCAAACACGAACATTTACAAAAAATTTAAAATGAAGGGTGAAATACCAGCCGATATTGACTTTCCCGTGTGGGGATTATTACCAAAAAAAGAAACTGGAAGTATATCCTTTTTATCAAAATATCCTGATTACGATGGGAAAGGTATTGTTATTGCAATTTTGGACTCGGGGATTGATCCTGGGGCCCCAGGATTACAGGTATCTATAGGTATATAAATATAACGTATGTAGGGAATTAAAAAAATATATTTTAGAAAACGTCAGATGGTAAAATTAAAATAGTTGAAAGATTCGACTGCAGTGGTTGCGGAGATGTAAATACGAGTACAATAGTCAAACCTGAGGATGGATATATCGTCGGCCTAACAGGTCGGAAAATGAAAGTAAGTGCATTATTAATTTTCGTTTAAATTGACATTACACTCGCACTACGCAATTTCTCCTCTGTGTTAACACTTTTGTAACTGTGTTGCATCTGTATTTGTACCTCAGAGCAAATTTTCTTTAAAATTTTAAACGAAAATTCTAGAATTTTAAGAATTTTGTAAAATTAGATAACCTAATTTTATAGGGTCTAGTCGGTCGCCTACTACTTTATAATAGGTATTTTGTATTGTATACTACAGGTCTCCCTCAGGGTGTAAAATCAAAAAAAAATTTATTGGTCTTCGATTCTTTAACAAATGGGAGCGCCTCATGTAACAAAAATAATTAGAAGAGTGACGTTTTTTGGCTAAAATTAGTGACAGTGACTTTTGCAAAAATTAGTATTATTAATAAACTAGTACTTAATATACAACTGTGAAGTCTCACAAATATAAAAAACATCTATATGTAGATAGGGCAAAAAAAATTATAACACGCCTTTTTAATCTGTACCTTCTTGGATTTTTGTTTTAATCTAGAATTTTGATGTTGAAGGACGTGATAAATACTTCCTAAAATTGCTGAAACCGTAACGTTCAGTGCTACTGAAAAGCTTTCTGAATTACAATTTTGGGCTCAATGTTGAAAACAAAACCAACCAGTGGCTGGTTAAGTAACCACGCATAAAATTATATTACGCAACAAGCTTGATAAACGCCATTTTAGTCACGAGTTTGATTTGCACGGGCAATTAGAGTGCTCAATAAGCGAGTAACCGATGAAGTTTATCAACATGCCATACTTTTTCTATAATCATTAATTTTTGAGTATACTTTTGGATAACAACACGAATATATATGCATATATATATATATATATATATATATATATATATATATATATATATATATATATATATATATATATATATATATATATATATATATATATATATATATATATATATATACATGCCTAGCCGTCACTGAGTGACGACTAGGCATGGCTAAAATCTACCGAAAACATCGCGATTGCTCCCAAACCAGTGATTAAAATACCAGAAATGTCCGAAGAGTTCGCGACCGTGGCTAAGGAAGCTTGATCAGTGAATTGGGCATTTCAGAGTAGAAATAAAAAAAAAGATATTAATAATTCTTTTTAAAAATAAACAGCTTATGAAGGATATCATTTATTTGTTGCCATAGGTGCAATATTTATTAAGGGCTCCTTTGAATATGAATTCCCGTTGGGGTGACATTAAAGTCTTCATTTATATTCGCTGTCGGATTTTAGGCATTTTTTAAAACTTGTCTAGTTAGAGCCTAGATAAAAAGGTACATCCGAATATTATACATAAAAATTTTCACCGCTTCTCTCACCAATGTGGAAGTAATAGGATAATTTATTCCTTTCCATAGGTTCCGTCAGAATGGAAAAACCCATCAGGTGAATATAGAATAGGTGTTAAAAATGCATTTTACCTATATCCAGACAAGCTAAAAGAGCGCGTAAAATCAGAATATAAGAAAAAAAATTGGGACGAAGGTCATCGAAAAATTATAAGCGAAGTAAACAGAGATCTCGCGGAATTTGAGAGTAGGCACTCTAGCAACAACTTAAATGAAAACGAAAAATTAGAAAAAGAGAACTTGGAAGCAAAATTGGAAATATTAAATCATTTAGAGCAGAAATACAAAGATGCGGGTCCAGCGTACGATTGTGTTCTTTTTAACGATGGCGAAAAATGGATGTGTTGCGTAAATACTAGCGAAACAAACGACCTTTCAGAATGTCCTTTGTTGGGAGAATACGGTGTAACTCACGAATACTTGCCGCTGACGAAAACGGATAACTTAAATTTTAGTTTCAATGTTCATGATAATGGCAATATTCTCGAGTTGGTCGGCGTGTGTTGTAAGTTCAATTTTATATCTATATATTATCGAATCAAGTTTGAAGTTTCATGGTTTTTTTAAAGCAAGTCATGGCACTCATGTAGCTTCGATTGCTTCCGCGTATTTCCCAGAGTCTCCCGAACAAAGCGGCGTAGCCCCGGGGGCTCAGATTATCTCGCTTACAATTGGGGATGGTCGATTGGGGTCCATGGAAACTGGCACTGCATTAGTAAGGGCGATGATAAAAATTATAGAACTGAAGCAAAAAATGGATATTCATGTTATTAATATGAGTTATGGTGAACACGCTCATTGGGTTGACACTGGGTATAGTAATAGCAACTGACACTTCCACTTTCTGAGTCTTTATGCTGGATGTTTCATAAATAGCATGCATGCTAATTGTGTTACATTCTGCGCAGAACCAGTATCTAAAGGTTCTTATTGTAGGCGTATTGGCGACTTGGTTAATGAAATAGTAAACAAATACGGAGTTATCTGGATTTCATCGGCTGGAAACAATGGCCCCGCATTGGGCACTATAAGCACCCCATCTGATATTAATGATGAACCTATCGTCAGTGTGGGAGCATATGTATCCCCAGAAATGATGGTTGCCGAGTATGCAATGAGACAAAAGTTGCCAGGTAATAATATTTGAGGACTACTTTTTGAAAAAAATATGTTAATTTTACTGTATACTAACTAGGCAGCCCTTATACGTGGTCTTCGCGAGGTCCTACCATCGATGGTGGCATAGGAGTTCACGTGTGTGCCCCAGGAGGTGCTATAACATCTGTACCCAACTTTACACTACGATACAACCAATTAATGAATGGAACGTCTATGGCATCTCCAAATTGCGCAGGTTCTGTGGCTATTATCCTATCAGGTCTGATTCAACAAAAAATACCTTATTCCCCGTATTTGGTGCGCAAGGCTTTAGAAAATACGGCCAGTTTCATTGAAGGAATAGAGATCCCCGCTCAAGGCGCAGGTCTTATTCAAGTTGACAAAGCGTTTGACTATTTAATTACCTATCATAACGTAATTGAAAGAGACGTACGTTTTCAAATACAATGCGGTTCATCAAATTCCAAGGGTATTTACCTGCGAACCAAATTACATACGAATTCGCATATATTTAAAGTTAGCGTCGAACCTCATTTTCTAAATGAAGATGAAGTACCTGCTGACAAAAAAATTAATTTCAACATAAAACTAGTTTTGACCTGCAGCAGTCACTATGTAGAATTTCCAAAACATCTGGACTTATCGAATTTCAGTAGGATGTTTTCTGTGAAGATAGATACCTCATCCTTGGCTGAAGGATTACATAGTACGTTTATAAATGCATACGATATTAACTGCGTAGCTAAGGGTCCCGTATTTAAAATTCCAATAACAATTATCAAACCCAAAGAAGTAACTGAACCCAAATATTTGGTCAGTTATACTAAAGTACCTTTTAAACCAAATACCATAAGGCGGTACTATTATGTAGTGCCGGATGTAGCAACATGGGCTGTACTAAAACTGACTTCCGATGATGACAATGGTCGCTTTGTTATTCACACATTACAATCACTGCCAAGACAACACTGCAAAGCTTTGGAAACCAACAAAACCATTGCAGTAACATCAAAGACTGAGTCTTATGTTACTTTCCAAGTGAAAGGTGGATATGTGCTTGAATTGGTTATAGCAAAATATTGGGCAAACCTTGGAGAAGTCAATTTAGATTACTCGATACTGTTTTACGGAGTTAAACCCAATCAACCTCTCGTTAACATGCACTCTGCAGATGGTATTTATATGGTCGAGGTCAAAACCTTGCAAGGGGAAGAGATATCGCCTACAATCACGCTTAAAAATTCCGTACAGATCCTCAAGTAAGTAATTCGCGGTTTTTAAGGCTATTGCGGGAATTGCGGTATTTTTTTAGGCCTTCGGAAGCAAAAATCGCGCCATTAACAAGTCGTGACGTCATACCTCCTAACCGGCAAATATACGAGTTGGTCTTAGTGTACAACTTTAATTTATCCAAACAATGTGAGGTGTCGCCTAATTTGGCACTCCTGAGCTATATGCTGTATGAATCAGAATATGAATCGCAACTCTGGTTGCTTTACGACTCCAATAAACAATTATTAGGATGTGGAGATGCATATCCTTCGAAAGTAAGATTACATCAACACTAATGCCTTACAGGGTAGGTTAAATTAGAGTTCTGATTCCTCATCATGCACAACTTTTCTCTAATTTAATTGACCTCGTAGGCACTACCGCTTTGAGACCCCCATACTATATCTTAAGGCACATTGTATACACAAAAAATGTTTTAGTATACCATTAAATTGGAGAAAGGTGATTATGTTATTCGTCTACAAGTTAGACATGACAAAAAAGAATACCTAGAAAAAATAAACGAAGCTCCCTTATTACTGCAACAGAAACTAGCTAGTAGTATAACAATGGATGTGTATCTATCATATTCGCAAGCCCTTATTGGAGGAAAAAAAGCTGGCGTTACACATAATTCAAATCCATACACAAACGTGCCTTTGTACATCGCTCCGCTGGCCGATAAGTAAGAGGTTTTCTTTGCGAATTTTAATGGTCATTTAATTTTTTTGTTTTTCAGATTTCAGGTGAAATCAAACAATCCAGCACATTATTTAACTGGTTATATTACTTATTCCAAAGATGAATCTGGGAAAAAAGTAGATACTTATCCTATTAAATATGTTCTTACAGATACTAGCAGTCCTAAGAAGGGCGGCGGGTCTAATGGAAACGTTAATAACGCCCAAGCGGAAAAGTCTAAATTGGAAGAGTACAATGAGTCGCTGAGGGATATACAGACCAGTTGGATTTCTAGACTTGGTACGTGAATGATTGCGACACGCCTCTTTTACATGCTTAAACTGATGGAAAATTGATTTTTAGATAAAGAATCAGCTGAAAAGTTATATGAAGACCTACAGAAGAGTCACCCCAACCATCTTCCAATTCACTCTGCCTATCTGCAAGTGATAGACCCGGTAGACAAAAAGTTTAACGTTAAAAAGAATCCTACTAGTGAGGAGCTTAACAAAATCATCGCCATTTGCAACAAAGTATTAGAAAATGTCAAAGAGGAAACTGTTTTAGCTTACATAGCAACAAAGACTGACTCTCGCCCAGATGCGTCCAAATATAAAGCGTAAATCTTCACATATCAATTATGACAATTGATAATTCCGTCCTCATTTTAGTCAAATGGAGCAACAAAAAAATGTTTATCTGGAATGTCTATCTAGAAAAGGAGTAGCACTGTGTAGGTTAAGTTTGATTTCCAATGGCGCTGAATCTAAAGAGTTGGAAATAGCCAACATTTGGAAATCGCTTTTAAAATTTGTTGACCCGACCGATGCAAAGGTAAATCACAAGTGTTAAAATGAATATAAATTAACCAGATTCCCTCGTAGTTTTTGACATCCCACGTGCTATACTTTGCGTTATGTCACTCGTTCATCAAAGGACATTTTGGAAGATTTTTGAAGTATTTGTATAAAATGCAAGAAGATAAACCGACTGAAGAAACGGAGAAGAAAATAATTGAAATTTGTCAGCAACTAAATTGGACACATGTGAAAAATTATCTGGAAAGGCAACTACCTTCCAAGTACCCTAATGCTTATAAACCTTTCTAATAATCCTGAATACCTTATATTAATTGTAAATTACAAATTTTCTTTTGATTTTATGTTCTATATATATAAATATATTTAAAATCGACTGTGGTTGAATCGATTTATTAAACAAGCGAGTCTGTGATTATTTGGTTTTATTGAAAAGCCTTTATAACCATTAAAGTCGCACCTTATTATGGTTAGTTGAGACTACAAGGAACCAGAAGAAACCAATGCTTTTTTTTTAAATAATTGTTCAAAAATTTCTGAACTATTTTTTTCTAATTTGCTGATGACAATACTTCAACCGTTTCGGCATCGCGTGAAAAGTATACTCGAACACTGAAACATTCGATGCGGCAGAATTATTTTTTTAGAAGAATCCCATTTCTAATTTTTCTTGACCACCTGACTTGGCACCTACAATGAATCACCCTATATACGTGTAGAAATAATAGGTATATCCTCAAAAGCTGGCGTTAACTGACGCTTGTTGCTCGCAAGCATGGCAATTCCAATAACACACATTTAACGAATCAACGAAATAAAAAAAGCATTCTCTTATTAAAGCTTTACCTGACCCGATTACATCCTTCACGCAAAAATCGTGTATAGGGTGGTCTATTATTAACTAGATAGATAAAAAACTAGATTAGATAAAAAAAATGGGTTAGGATGATATTTTGCGTGACTTTTAAAATTTGAAGTTCCTATATATATTTATTATTTTTTCATTTAATTATTACAATAAAATTAAGCAATCACACAAACAGTTTTTACTGTAGACTATTATTTAATAAAAATAAATTTCTGCCTTCAAAAACAAACATTAAAATGTAAAAATAAATCGACCGGCAACCAATATACGGTTTTATTTTTGTTTGCTTCAAATCTATTCTACATTGAAAATCTAAAAATACAATATATTACTCCTTACTTCTTGTGGAAACCGCATTATGTTGTAGGTGCGTTTCATATAATTTCCGGGGTTAAATTTCCATCTCTATGGGAATCCCAGAACCTAGAAAGGCGTTTCCAAAAATTATTTTCTTTATATTTAAATCCATATGTTGTAATCTCTCTTACCTAGTTTTCTCTCTCATTAAAAAGAATACTCTCTATCGTTGTTGATCAATATTTCACGAAAAAATGCAACACTTTTTTTTATTTAGAAGGTTCTATTGACTCAGTACTTTCCCATTTTTTCAGGCCAAACATAAGGATCACATGCACTTCCAGGAAGGAATCAGTTCATGCTGTTACCTTGGAAATTGATCAAAAAATTTGAAATATACATTTATTTAGGTTAAATAGTATTCTCTATAGCTTATTAATTATTGCATTTATTTGTATGCAGTAGCTTTTCCGCCACAGAATAGCAGCAATATTCCACCACAATTTCATTAAACAGTTGCTACTCTATTAGGGGTACTGCTTGGACCTGTAGGCAACACTTATAAACATTGTTCATAGCTTGTTTTAGTTTCTTTGGAAAAAACTTTTTTAAAAACATACTAAGTTAAGTGATAAGCGCCTAATCATGGGCGAATTTTTTATGCGAGATTATGTCATTGTTCGGGGTTAGAAAGTGACGCAATTCGCAAGCAATCAAATTTGAAAAAGTGATTTACTCATCATGTAAGACGCCTTTACGACATGGCAGTCATGTCGCAAAAATGCAGCGTTAATGGAAATCCATCACGTTTATATCATGTAATATTCTGATTTCTCCAAAGTCTTAAAAACTTACCTTTAGCACGAAACAGCCACACAAACACACGCAATCAATTTATTCTAATAAATTCACATCGCCATTTTCTAAAAAAGACCGGCCGACTATGACTACGGGTTTATGTCACAATGATAGGTATTGGTTTTCAAATCGGATCGACCGTTTGACACGCAGTAAATGTAATTATGTAATTAGTACGTCATCAATTTAACACAATTTTTTTAATTTATCGTGGACAGTGCGAACTGAAAAGTGGAATACTGTATGATTCTCAAATCGGTAACTTCTAGATATTTCCGACGGTGCAGCTGCGGCTGGGAAATTCACAAATAGCGCAAGTAGTAATTTGAGAGATTCGTTTTGCTTATTGCAACTTCACACTGTTCATGTTGTAAATTTTTATTGCCAATTTATTATAAATCACCCAATCCGGCGACTCCCTCACAAATGCGACGCTGCTTGATACACAGTTAAATCTACGTCATTAATTAAAAACAAATTTTAAAATTAAATAGAAAAACGCATTAGTCAAAATCGTTTCCATTTATTCACATTTATTTCGCACGAGACTTACCTGATCTTATATAATCTTTCCGTTTTTAAAAAAATAGTTAAATTTATCTTATGGATTAAATATCACAACAACAAACATACGTAAATGTATGTTATTATCCTTAAAATACAAAAGTTGAATAATTTGAGGTCCATCCTTCACAACATAGAAAATCAACAACACTTATTGCGATATGGAAAGAATGGGTGAAGAAATAACCTCAAAAACATCAGCACTACAAATTACAATGTACAAAACAATTTTGGTGCATTTAATAAATAAAACTAGGAAATAAATAAGGTAAAAATAAGTTCCCTAAGTTGAGTTATCACTTAAACAATAATAGAAGCGTTGTAAATAACTTATATCCCTTCCACAATTCCCATCAATAACATTTTTCCCAGTTATAATTTTTGATTCAACTGCTGCAGTTTTTAAAAACCACAATTGAACAGAGCTTCATAATTCGATCTCTGTACAGGGTCCGCCAAAGAGTACTGAACAAATAGTTAGTTTTGACTTTCCCTGTATTATTCGAGGCAACGAAAAATAACAAACTAAAAACTTTAAATGAACCTCAAAACGAGAGCTATTAAGTACATTTTTGTTTTTTAGAATCGATAGACTATCCAAAATTTTATGTTATCTATATAATAATATAGAGTTTCGTGATTTTTTATGAAAAGGGAAAGGAATCTAATTGTTCCTTTAGCGTATATTTGATTTTAACAGAATGAACTGGATATTCTAATATAAATATAATATATTAAGATGTATATAATTAAAATATAAATATAAATCCTAGCTCTTTTGTTTGAAGTTCAGTTGTTGGAAATTCAAAAATGAATGCCTGTGCAGTCATCATGGGCAGACCATATACAGTATGAAGTATACCTTCGTTGTTGAGAAAATACCACATGTATAAAATATCAAAAAATATTAAAGGATCAACTTCTATGTTACTAGATCATAATCCTTTAAATAAAAAGATATAATTTTGTTTTAAAAAATCAATCATTATAAATCATCTAAAATTGACATACCAGGGTCTAAAGGTCATACTACTGTTATTTCCGTATCATCTTCTTCTTCTTCGCTTAGTCCATACGTTATTAAATCTGACGTTGTTAATGACTGAATTGGGTCGAAGCTGCTTCCCAATACTAAAAAAAATGCCCTTATAACAACAGTAGGGTAAGCAAAGACATTAACCAACAAGTCGTTCAACAATAATGCATGCGAATTAAGCTTAAACTGAAAAAGTAGCTTGAAAAATTGAGACTGAGAAAAACTAAATATGCACAAGTTACTGTTTTTCACATTCACTTAACATTATTTTAATAATAAAATCGGATTAAGAAATAAAATTCCATCAAAGAAATAGGAATTCATTCAAGAAACAGATATAAATCTGGCATCACTGTACTATTGGAATGTCCACTTCTCTCCTGTGGTTAAATGTCTTTGCATATCCTGAAGGAAATTATTATAATTAGCATTGTGGTCGAAAACGAATCTTACCATTCAATAGGTTAAAAACAAAGTAAAACGCACCATGCAGTGTTGCCACTACCATAATAAACTCTTCAACTCTATGGACAGCACTAGGTTAATAAATTTAGGGTATTCTTACACTTGTAGGCTTTATATTGTTGATTCATAGCGTCTGTTGTAAAAAACTGTGTTTCTAATTGAAGACCCTCTAACTTAACAGGTTGCATTGTGTCGTCTAATAAATGTTGAGAATGTTGCTGTGAAGATGAAGTTGGTAGCAGTTGCAAATGTTGTAGGCGCATTTCGGAGATTGAAGACATTACCATTTGTGAGGAATCAAGTTCTTGTAGATAGGGCATAACCTGAAAATGACAGAAACATTGATGTCTAATGTTATTATATTATAAGTAATTAATTCTAACTTTATTCCCATCAGGTCTGTGAGGATTCCGACAACCACGGCATTTACAATCTATGCAAGCTTTACTTTCTACATAGCAGGGACATCGTTGACCGCAACATGTTAATTTCCCGGGTGTTGCGGTTGCGTTCCCACATCTGCATCCTTTTTTTGCTTTCATGCAGGGTTTTTTAAATATTCCCTAAAACACATGCAAATTATTTTTTTGCGCCATATTTAATAGTTTTTTTTTACTTAATTTGAACATTTCACTAACCTTTTCAGAAATTTCCTTTGGTTTACATGAACTTATGCTATTAACAAGTGCATTATTTGTTGTATTACAATTTGTACTATCCTTTGGCTTTCTCTTAATAGTAATTTTATTTCCCGAACCTGGATAAACAACTGAATATAATGATCTATTTTGACTACATGGTAAATTTTTTGAGGTCTCTCCTAAATTTTGCAATGCAGGAATATTCTGAGGACAAGCGGATTTTGTGTAAATGCAGGGTAGTATAGAATATGTTGATTTTGGCAGACCGCCTTGGCTTTTATAGTCATCTTCAAATTGAGCACCTTCTCTGATAAGTTGAATTAAATTACTTGCCCCCCTCTCGAAACCTGTACCAGGTTGGCAGGCTTGAGATTTAATGCAAAGGAAAATTGGGGAGTTCATTATAGTCAAACACATTTTTTTATACATCTGCATTAGGATACGCAAACTCTTATTTTCTCCATAGTCTTGGCAATCTTTACAATTTTCACAAGCTGGTTTTAACCTTTTTCTTCCACCTTTACATCTCTTGCATACGTGATGCTGGCACTGAGCATTAACTGGCGAATGAGGTTCCACTAACAGGTTGGAACATACAACACAACACAAGGAGTTGCGTAGGTATGGTACTAGTCGGTACAGATCCTGCCAGGACCCGGGATTATTTGGATCTGATCTTAGTATTATCTGTGTTGTTGTCACATACAGATTCGTGGAATTCATTTTCGTTTGCGTTGGGTGCTTCTCTTTAGATATTGACGACATTGTTCTTAGGTTAGAATAAAGGGTTTGTTTATATCGGCGTTATACGACGTATTCCGATTAATAGCTTAAAAATACTTCACGTACTTTTCGTGCCGCATTCATGGAAATGACATATTTGTACTGGTTATTAACAATAGTATATTATTTTCAAATTTGCTTCAACAAAAAATGTTTTGATTTTATTTTAAACCAAATACACATTGCAAGGTTGCCAAATGGCTATATTCATTCCCCAATAAATGACATATACCATCTGTTACTTGCTAATTTAAAAGTGTAATTTTTATAAATTTTATAAGAAAAGTCATTACTATACCTCTCAGGGATCCTGATAGATTTAAGTTTTGTTTAATTTCTTATTTTTGCGAGATTTAGTAACCATTCAATGCACCATCTATTGTCGACAAGCTGAAATAATTCTACTTCACTTACCATATAATCCGCTGCAAAATAAGCCGGAAAGTAACTAAAAAAGAAATTATATGAATTAAATTTGAAGAAGCGAATAATTTTACCTGAAAAAAAGAAATAAATCTAAAGGTCACCTTTTTCTATCTGCGGGGACTTGTAGACCAGAGAATAAAACGATATACAACCCAAAGATAAATGATAACAAAATCACAGTGTTGTCAAGTCATAATCGGCTTGTTTTAGAAATTACATGGTGACATCTGTAAGTCAATATGAAAACCAAATGGCTTGTGAAGAAAATATTTATATATATATAAACAGAAAACTTGGTCGTGTAATTACCTAATTTTCTTTTTCATAACATTGCGTCACTTGACGTCTCGAATGAATACTGTAGTAGAGAATCGCGATTTGAATTTTTTTTTAACAAACAACCCTTTTAACATGATTATATTTATATAAAAGCAATTCCTCCAGCACTCAAGGTGCGTATCTGAAACCATGCTAAGTTTGAATTAGTGCAATATTTATTGTCCTAAAAATCAATAGGTGAGTTTACAAACACCCAAGAGTTTATAAACACAAGATTTCCTTGGTGATAATGACATGATTATTTTTGGTACCTTAGTTACGTTATTTTTGATTGAGATATGAATAGTTTTGTCAGTTTGACTCATTTGCTTGTTGATTTTTAAAGTACATTTATTGTTTACCTATGAGTTGTTTATATTATGACATTTAAAAAACTACTTTCACTATTATTTAAACTGAATATTTCATAATACCAAGTGCAATATGGTTTTGGTAATAAGATAAAACAATTTTTTTAGAATTGTGACAAAGGAGATGGATTCTTTTTTCAGTCTTTTTGATCCCAGTAATGGGAATGATTGCTCTATGAACGAAGATTTTGCTCTTAATAATTTGCTGAATGAAAATTCCCTGCCTCCTGAACCCCAGCTTGGAAATGTTGAATACAAATTAAAAATTGTTAATCCAACCAAACAAAGGTTTGAACATCTAGTTACCCAGGTAAATTTTTATGTCATTTGCTGTCAATTATTTTATAAATATTTTCAGCTTAAGTGGAGACTTCGCGAAGGTAACGGCGAAGCCATTTATGAAATAGGTGTCGAAGACAGTGGAATTCTTGCTGGATTGTCTAAACGTGATATGACAGCTAGTTTACAAACTTTGGAGCAAATGGCTAAAAAACTTGGAGCAAGCACAACTCTACTCAGAGAAAAGCAACTGGACAATTCACGTAGTGTGGCTGAAGTTCTAGTAAGAAAAATTCCCGATGATCAGAATAACATTGAAATAAGGGTGGCTGTTTTGGGAAATGCAGGTATGAAAAATAATTGAGGGAACGAATGTGGATTTATTGTTGAATTTTTGCCTAGATGCCGGGAAAAGTACATTATTAGGAGTGTTGACGCAGGGAAACTTGGATAATGGTAGAGGCAAAGCAAGGCTAAATATGTTCCGCCACTTACATGAAATACAAAGTGGCCGAACTTCATCCATATCTCACGAGATTTTAGGCTTCAACTCGCAGGGTGAACCTATTAATTATAGTTCCAGTGAATTAATCACTGCAGAGGAGATTTGCGACAGAAGTACAAAACTTATAACATTTCTGGATTTGGCCGGACATAAGAAATATATTCGCACAACCATACAGGGTCTATCGGGTTATTCGCCTCATCATGCAATGCTTGTAGTAAGTTAATAATCCATCAGGACATTTGTAAATATGTTTTTCCCACCTTCAATTAACTAATTATAACTTAAAAATATATTTTATTTTAGATTTCAAGTACCGCGGGTGCAGTGGGAATGGCTCACGAACACCTAGCTATAGCGGTCGCTCTGAATGTACCATTTTTCATTGTGATTACTAAAATCGACTTGACTGACCCTGCGAATACCCTACAAAGTCTCGAATCTTTTTTGAAACAAGTGGGTAGCAGACGTGTACCTCTCATAATCAAGAACTTGGATGACGTAATCACTGCAGGAGCAAACCAGTTAACAGAGAATATTGTTCCAATATTTTGTGTGTCTAGCGTCAGCGGGGACGGCTTGGAGTTGCTCTTAAAATTTTTACATGTGCTTCCCCCCGGCAGCAGCTCGAAGGAAAAGGAGAGACTAGAACAGGTAAAGTTTTTTTTCAATGATACCCTTGGTGACATTTTGAGAGTAATAGAATGATGCTGTTGAGTAAATTGATCGGGCTTTTTCATTTATTTATAGGCAAAGACATTTAATCACCGTATTGTAAATATATTCGGTTTTATTATGCACTAGGGCTTAGTGTTTTTGGTTAGCACGTAATTAGCGCCACCAACAGTGTATAATTTGATTTCAGGAATTACCGGAATTTCATATCGACGAAAATTTCCGGGCTGGAGCTGTGGGGCAAGTTTTTGGCGGGCTATTAACCAAAGGTGTGATCATCGAAGGTGCCCAGATGCAAATAGGACCAATGAAAAATGGCTCTTTCCAAAGCGTAGTCGTAAAATCTATTCATAGAAATCGAGTACCATGCAGAATGGTACGAGCGGGACAAAGTGCCGCAATCTCTCTAGATAGTTACCTGCCTAATTTGAGAAACGGAATGGTTTTAGTTTCGAAAGAGCACACGGCTCATGGATGCCTATTTTTCCAAGCGACCGTATCAGTTCTCTTCCACGCAACAGCTGTTTATCCCGGTTTCCAAACCACTGTCCATATTGGAAATATAAGACAAACAGCAGTTGTCATTGGTATATGTTCGTCGAAATGTATCCACACGAATGAGAGAGATTCAGTGCTTTTTAAATTTAAAGTACATCCTGAATATGTAACCGTTGGTCAAAGACTTCTCTTTAGAGAAGGTGCATCTAAAGGTATAGGCGAGATCACTCAAATATTCCCACTGACCAATGGGGATGATAACTAAGTATGTGCTTTAATTTTTGGAATTGCTGACAGTGACTTAGTATTTGTTTTTTGTTATGTCCTTAATTCTTAGCTCTCATGCATTGTTGTACAGAAGGTCGATTGTGGTTGAAAAAAATTAAGTCTCTAGTACTAGCAGTACTTTTGATTGATTTTAAAAGAAGTCTCTCATTTGAAAAAAAAAATCGCCTCTCAAGCTAATTGATTATTTTATAACTGACCATAAAAATTTCTTTTTTTTTTCCTAAAGGCAAAGATTCGTGGAAACATATCGAGTTGCAATACCTTCGAAACATTAATTAACTACTCTCTTATATGTTTATTATGGTAATAACTTATAATTGTGTGACGATAAAAGTTCAAAGTTATTTTTTTATTGAGATAAGGTTGAGACTGCTTCAACCTTGAAACTATTAAATATATGTCCAGTTAAAAACTTTTTATGAAAAACAACTGTGATTATAAATAGTAGGTTAGGTTTCCAGTATTGTGGGCCACATTTTTCAAATAGTGAAAAACATGGCGTTAAATTAAATAGTACTTTCTAAAACACAAATTGCGTACTATGTCAAACTTGGATCTCCGTTAATAAATAAAGTTCTAACATTCTTTTTGTTTTATTTCTATTTTTATTTGGTAATGTTAATTTTACATTAAGGGTGAAATATAAGTTCTGCCAGTGAAAAATATTTAAAAAACAACTAGCGTCCAATATAACTTTTATTTGTTAAGGGTTAATAATGAGAATAAAATTGAGACACTTAACAATATATTCTAGATCATTGCACATTGTCTACGAAAATATAAATCTCTTAAATTTGAAAAACTCAACATTAATGTATACATATATAAATAACGAAAAAAATTATGATTTACCTTTATCAGCTAGGCCTATAAAGATCTCACATTTTGAATTCGTAAATTATCCTTTGGAAACGCAGCTTGTGATTCCTATATCGTTTTGATATTGAACAATATCAAATACTGTTGGCGCGTTAAAGCCTTGGAACAATTATAAAAATATATCTTAGCAACGCTTCAATCTTACGCCTGGAAAAATAATCTGGCACTCGTATAACTATAGTAGAACAATTCAAATTCCTGAAAAACGACAAATTATAACGTTACAGAGATAAATAGACAAAAAAACTCTTACCCTTTCAAAAGTATTGATTCGTTTTTCTGTTAAATTTAGGGTCTGCTTTAGTTTAGCATCATCTCCGTTCGATATCAAAGTCTGCTCTTTAATTTTCATTCTTTCATTTTTAAATTTTCTATTAACCGAATGAAACCAATGTAATGAGTTTAGCTGACTTTCTTGATCCAATAATTGTATGATATAAGCAAGACCTTAAATGTAAAACTCTTAGAATAGAATGTCCTTTAGTAGAAGTTTGTTTATGGGTGTATAAATTAAAAAAAAACGGAGATTTTCACGACTGTAATACAAGTAATAAGGACTGTTTTTCAAAAAAAAAAAAAGAGTAGAATTTTCAAAAAATATTTTACGAACACAGGTGTTAGAGTTTAGAATAAACTTTCCACAGAGCTAAAAATCAGTAGTAATATAAACATTTTTAAATCTAAACTGTTTTTATAATTTAATAATTTTATAATTTATAATTTATTAATGTTTGTTATCACTGTCACATATTTTTATTATATAAGTTCCTAATGTAGTTTTCTGATTCACTTGTCAAAATCCATAGTACACTGATTGTATTTTAAATATGTGGGATAATAAAAATATTATTATTACCTCAATGATAAAAAATTTATTATTACTGACTTTACACACAAAAAACTTACCTAAAGCAAAACCATCATCCGTAAAGGCACTGTTGGCTTTGTTCTTTTTATATAAGCGTTCTTTGGATGTTAAAGAGTGTTCTACGAAATTTATTGTCAAGGGAGGCACGATAACGAAGAAATTTTTCAAATGCATGTTACTAGGATTCCGAAACACCGACAAAAACACGTTCACCAACAATTTAAAATATTCCGTCGCTTCTTCGAAATTTTCAATGAAATTTTGCAAATCGTGAAGCAAACATTGGACGGCTTTTTGGGATAACTCGGTCAGTTGTTCCTTTTGCAATATTTCTTTGAAGTTATCAAGCCCCGTCAGGTCGGGTATAAAGCATGTTCCTTCCGCTAAGCATCTTTTACCTCCAGATCGTATTAGACGAATATAACCCATGGCATTACCTACGAGCACAACATTATGATATTTTAAATACATGTAACTTTGTTTCAAACCTATATGAGTAATCAGCTTCCTAAACAAATCCAAATAACTCTCTCCATCTTGATTCAATCCTAACTTCCTTATTCCAACGTTGAACTTTTCTGCTCGCTCATAAGGATACATCTGATTAAACTCAGTTTTATGTTCAGAGAAAAACCTCAGATCTTTTAACAATCGAGATTTGATATGCTCGTCGAACATAAACTGAGAAAAAATATGGAACTTATTTTTCAAAAATTGGTAAATAAAATTAACAGTGGTGTTCATTATCCCTATGCCATGGGTCCTTATGGAATTGGAAACATGAGATATATTTATAGAGTTTAAATGCTTATTGTTGCTGGACTGTTCTACAAAAACCTGACTATTCAAATTATAAAGGTACTTTTGGACGAAAACATTTATGTTTCGCATTATTTCTAAAACATCCAGCCCTTGATCTAAAGTCTGCATTGGCAGATCATCATCAACTGTATTCAAGGAATATTGTAAATAAGCCAACCTGAAAGCAATTTCCGAAAAATACTTAAGGGACTCGAAAATTAAACACTCACTTTCTCATTTCTCCATAAGTCTTCCAGTCATGTAAAACAACAGTGGTCAAATTATAAAACATGGTGCTCAAATAATGCTCGGCTTCATTTTTCACACTTTTATAAACGTTACCCAACAGCACGGGCATATATTTGTTGAAATTCAATGGAAAAACATTCTGGAAAGGGTCGGAGGGTGGCAACTGCAAATGTAAATGCGTTTGCATTCTCAAATTTGTCTCTACGATTTGATTCACTGGCGCAAAAAATTTCTCATTGAGAATTTTGCTGACGGCTGATGAAATTTCCTTGCCACCTATATTATCACAGTCCGTTAACGCGTTTAACATTAGCTAAAATAATTTTTAAATTAAAATATTACCAACACATCCCGAAAAATGTTACCATGTATCTCGCAACGTCGCTTTTGGATGACACCAATTTACTCAAATATACAGGCAAAATATAGTTGTAATGCCAGTAAAGGACAGAACAATCGCAGCGTTTTTGTAAAAACTCTGTATATCTCGATATTAATCCCAACTGTGACAATAGCACCTGCACATCATTTAATTTTGAATTATTTAAACCACTAGCAGATAGCGCCAAATTAGCTACTAATAGTCTGTTTTTGGTATTGGGTCCTAAAATGGAAGTCAGCTAGGGATGGTAAATTATTTGTTATATCTTTGTCACCTTTTATAGCATTTTCACAGATATTTAAAGCAGACATTATGTTATGCTGTTGATCTTTGTAAGATCTGTCTTGGACCAAATCTTTCTAAGAAAAAAATCTAATCAATAAAAAAACAACTGTTATACTACCATCATACCTTAATGCTTATTAAAATTGATAAAGCTTTATACTGTAAATGCTGGGAAATCAATAAAACCAGGTGAACCAAGAGTATTATATTCTGATTTAGGTTTAAATATATACTTTTTAAAATCTCAACCAACTTTGATATAGCTACCAACACCGTTTTTGTCACTGGCAACATCTTGTCAAAATGTACATTCATGACCCATTTAATTGTTGAATTGATCTTTTGCACAAGTTTTAAGCCATCCAATAATAACACACATATATATTGCAGCTGTTTTACTTTTAGGTTCCCCATATTCACTTTTATCTGTTTATCTAACTCTACTAAATAATAACATGTCTGTAAACAATACTCGTGTCAATCAATTATTACAATGTGAAGGTAAAAAAGTGCAATTATATACCTGTAGACAAAGTAAATTTGTTTCCTTGGGTAAGTTTTGGTTTTTAATATGAATTTGTGTAAGTCTATTACTCTCTATATTCTTCTGATCAATATATTTAGCTAGGGATTGCACATTTTTCAAAAAAAATTGTTCAGGATACCATACAATATTGCCAATGAGTGTACAAGCTAAAACCTGAAATTATGAACCAAAAACGTTGTGGGAAATACTTATATTAGTGAAAATTCAAATTACCTTTTTGTTTAACTCTAGTAATTTTTTTATGAATTTCCGATTTGTGCTTTCAAAAACATTAAAGTAGAATGCAGCAACAACATTTAATTGCAACAACATTTCAGAGCACAAAATATTCTCTTCATCCTTCTCTAATTCACTGATTTGAACAAATAAATAAGTTTGGAATTCCGCATTTAAGGTTGATTTCTTAATGTCATATATTAATTTGGAATCTAAATTACTAGTTGAATCCTAAAATAATGAAAATAAAACTTCTTGAAAACCTTCCAAAAGGTTTATTTACTTTGAAAATTGTTCCTGACAATAAAATAGTTTCTAGAACAGCCAAAGTTTTATCAAAATCTCTTACTTCGTCTTTTGAAAAATTGTATTTTGCACTGTTGTGCAAAATGTTTCTTAGAGCTCTCCTATATAGCAGCCAATGTTCTTTTAATATCTGCTTATCAAGTAGATAATCAAATTTTAACAGACATATTAGCAAATCTCCAAATAAATTTAAAATTTCCTAAAAACATAAATTGCTTAAACAAAACAAATTCCTTGTACCACTGTTAAAAAAGTGCTTACAGAAAAGCTAGGATTATTACCAGACACGTAATATTCTTTGGTCAAAATTGCTGTAAGCTGTTTTAACGTTAGTGATAAAACTTGCCTAGCCCTGATAACAAAAGCATGTAGCTTTTGCAAAGGTTCAACCAATTTACTAACAGATTCTAAATTTTGTAAACTTTTTCCAATATCTGAAAAATAAATTATAATACTATATACGTCCAAAGTTCGGTGGGTTAAAAAATGTTAATAAAATGAATTATTGACGAACACAACTAACAGATACCTTCTCCGTAGAATAAAAAATCCACACATAACTGCTGAGCTTCTGTTTTCAGTAATTCAATTTCCTGGCATATAGAACCAAGTGTGCTCAAAATTCGAAATAAGATTTTATTTTCTGACCGAGTTAAATCCAAAATAGAGCCACTTTCATGAGCTTCCACCTAAATGTACATTTTTATCACAACATATGCAGAAATAACGTATAAACACAACTTACATCTAGTAAAATTGGTTTAAGAGTTACATTTAAATTATTCCTAAACGATTTTTTGTTCTCGTTAGTTAATTCATTGAACTTTTCTAAGAACTCGCCAAATTCACGAAGTTTTGCTTCACTTGCAATCCCTAAAATTTTATTTACTAGTGCAAGATCAAAATTATAATTTCGGCGAACTTACTATGAGTTTCAGCGTTAAATTTCCTTTCTATCACATTTGAAGGTTCAAACATTTTAACATGTTTATTTATTCAATATTTAAAACCTTTAACCCTAGAAAAAAAATTCAGTATCCTCAATCACAGATTGTATTGTTTGCGTGAATTTTTCACAGATCATAGTCAACAGCGCCATCTACTGAAAAATGGCCAAACTGTTTCGAACACCAGAGTCGACGTGAATATTTCTTTAATGAAACCCACTGAATGATTATGCGAAATGGACAAATGTAACAGTTACGGGGGAGTTATAAAAACTTCTGCACATGTTACAAGTTACATAGTGTAATCAGTAACCTAAGCTTTAAAGTACTAATTCAGTAAGAATAACCAGAAAAACATTTAAAGAGAGGGTTTGAAAAATTTTGGAGGTTTCTTTTGGTAGTTGCAGGGCTGTATTAATCACCATGGATTTAAGATGGGTTAATGAAATTATAAAGGCCCTTAATTTTGTTAAAATATATATTTAAAACGTTTGCTTTTTAACAATATGATGTATTCCCAAATGCAGTGTGAAACAATTGCATGATTTCTCGTGACTCACATACAATAATCACAATTTGTTTTGGTCGTATTGCCTAAATAAAGAAAATATTGCTACTGCCCTTACTCACTCGTTATTGTTGTATCACAAGACCAAAAGGTTACAAGCTGGACTCATTAACGAAAAATAACAAATTATTTTTTAGTGAAAATCTTCTGCACTGGGATAACAAAAACCTATAAATAGTAAATAAATAAAATCACTCAAAGTCACTCTATTACAAAAAACGGTAAAACATTTTAATTAAAACTGTATTAAATAATGGGACTAATCAAATTTTGGACCCACACATTCAGTGGCAGAGTTCTAAAAGTTCATTTTCCTTCTAAAAAAAGGGTTAATATATACACGCAAAGTTAATGAAGAAAATCACAATCCTTACACACTAATTTGCGCAATTTTAAGCGTAGATCATATAAAAAAAATATGTACATATAAATTGTTTTAAAAAGCGCCAAAGATTCCCGCAACTATCCTAGAATTTATTATTACCAAATATTTTCCATTGATACATTCATTTTCAAACAAATACCTGTCTGGGATTTAGGAAATTAAAAAAGAGGCTGAATTTGTAAAGCCACACAAAATTATTCAGGACTTGAAGATGCTAGGATATATATTTTATACAGGGTGTTATGCAAATATGTGGCCAAACAATAATAGATATACCAGATTCACTCCTTCAAGTTTAGCACCGAAACTAAGTGAAATAATTAAATACGACCCCACAATAACACTGTTAAAAAATTTAGGTAATATTGATATGTAAATACCTCCAAAGTGTCTGGCCTAATTTTTCAAAATCCGATAGCGGCTTTATATCAAAACTCACAGATTAATTTTTAATCTGGACCTTCCTGAGGCGATTTCTTGTAAAAAATTGCTAAAAAGAAGATTAAATTAACTCAATGAGGTGGCAAGTTGGGCGACTGTGTGTTCTTGAGCCAAGGCAGCCAATTCTTTAACCCACTCGTCTAACAATACGGCGCATAAGGCTACATGTTGGCCTTCGTTAAATTTCGGGTATATTAGATTAAATTGTAACTCTTCAGGTGATGATACTAAAGGCATGCTGGTTTCTACCTGGCTCGGTCTTCTGCCGAACATACTTGTTATGGATGGAATGTTCAGACTTCTTCTCTTAGGTCCATTTCGTTGAAACGGTTCGTTAGATTCCGCCGGTTTTTGTGCCGAAGATTTTTCAGTATGGTATCGGCGCAGGTTCACCAGCATTACTTCTCTGTCCACTAAAATGTCTTGCGCGTATCTTATTAAACCAACTTTATCGGAATAGCGGTTCATGGCCTCATCTACTTGATGTTTTAATAAATTTAATATCTGAAAAATACAAATATCAACAAATCTATTTCCTGTAACGAAAAAATAAACAAGCCCACCTCGAAAATGGACGGCACATTGGGCGGCAACGTCATGTTATCCTCAAGTAAATAAGCTCGTAACAAGGGTTGTGGGTATGCAGCCAGTCTTGATATGATGCCGGTTAAGTGCAAGTTAACGTATATAGAATTGGATAAAAAATTCCTTAATTTCTCCATCAAAATAGTTAAAAATGGCCCAGCACACGGAGGCGTTTCTAGATGCATATCATCGAGTACAAGAATTGCATTTGATCTTCTCCCTTTACTTGTCGAAACAAGCCATTCACTCTCTTCTTTTATATCGTCTAAATTCATATTGAAACTCTCGTAGCCGCTACTTCTTTCCAAAGATATCAAACTGTCCGATTTTTCTTCTAAAAGTACAAGTACAAGTACTTCACTATAATAATATGTACTCAGTACTTCACTTTAATAATATGAAATCTAACATCACTAAAGAGATTACTTGACTGCATGCATCTGAAACATCTCCAGAAGGATATATAACCCATGTGCAAATGAGTACTTGAGTTTGAATCATGACGACGGCTTTAAAAGCAGAAATGAGGCAGCTTTAAGGCGGCTTAGAGGCGAAATTTGTCCTCTCACCATGAGAGAATGGGGTGCTAGTGAACACAGGCAATGTTTTCATCATAGTAAGGGATACAAGCGAAGGGAGGATGATATCTGATATGCTCCAAGCAAAAATAACTCTGCACAGGTTAGAGGGTGTGTGGCAAGACTTGAGATGGATCCAAATCAGAATTACTGGCTTGAACACAATGATCAGACCTAGCGCAGGTCAGGCTAACAAGCCAGGCATGTATGACGATTACAAGCACAATGCCTGTCAAGTTATCAAGGTGGACAAGACAACAATCAACAGATCCTCCATATGAAGGGAAACTGCTGAGCAGGGATGAGCAGAACCAATGAATGTGTTGCAGGTGGTATCTAGAAAGAGCACCAATTAAACTTGGTACAAATCCCAGTATAATTTGAGTGGAAGGATGCTAGAAGGGAAACAACTTGTAGGAAAAGAATTAACATAGGTTAGGTCAGTCAAGCAACCCTGAATCTAATTCAAATGTAAGAAACTGAACACAAAAAGAGGCCCTATTCACGATCATGAACAGATCCTCCATTTGAAGAGAATCTGCTGAGCAGGGACGAGCTGAACCAATGAATGTGTTACAGGTTGTATCTAGAAAGAGCACCAATTAAACTTGGTACAAATCCCAGTATAATTTGGGTGGAAGGATGCTGGAAGGGAAAGAACCTATAGTAAAAAAAATAACATAGGTTAGGTCAGTCAAGCAACACTGAATCTAATTCAAAGCTGTAAGAAACTGAACACAAAAAGAGGCCTTATTCACGATCATCAACAGATCCTCCATTTGAAGAGAAACTGCTGAGAAGGGACGAGCAGAACCAATGAATATGTTCTAGGTGGTACCTAGAAAGAGCACCAATTAGATTTGGTACAAATCCTAGTACAATTTGAGTGAAGAATGCTGGAATGGAATTAGCTTGTAAGAAAAGAATTAACACATGTTAGGTCAGTCAAGCAACACTGAATCTAATTCAAAGCTGTAAAAAACTGAAAACAAAGAGCCACAATCATGAACTGCAATTAGGCAACACTCAAAATTTACTGTTTATTGACCGCATATCAAAAGTTTTAATCATTATGGTGATATGAAATTTGTCAAGACATGCTCTGCAGCAAATTTGTAATACAAAAGCATAAAAAACAGAACTACCACATACCACTGTTACAAGAAATATCTTCGTCTCCGTTATAGGAGTTACTCCAACTGGAACAAGCTCTCTGACATTGCCCAATTTTATTTCTAGCATCGCAAAGGTAAGCATAGTACTTCCCATACAAACTTTGACTATGTTTGAAATGATTCCACTGGATGAAACTACCGTCGACTCCGACATCGCTATCGGGCAATCGACAGCAATTAGGCGCTAGTAGCAACAGCTTTTCGAAACTTGAGCACGACAGATCCAAAGGCAGCAGTATTTTACGTTGCGACAACAGTACTTGAAAACACGGCTGGAAAAATATTTTACTGCGACTTAACGATATAAATCCTAGTGGTTTTTACCTGTAAATGTTTGAAGCTCAGCTCCAACATCAGATCTTCGCAATTTAGGTCAATCAGTGATTCGAAAAGCGCCAATGACACAAGGCATAACTGCCTTTCTGAATCAATCCTGTTTATCAGTATATTTAATAGCCTATCGCCGTCGTATTCAACTACTAGTAAAAATCGTAAAACGGCGTGTAATAACCCTGGCTCGGTAACTGTACGTATGATCAATTCTAAATAGGCTGTCGCTGCCACTTGCTCTAATATATTTATTTGCAAAAGGGCTGCGCCTAATACTGGTATTAAAAAACCCCTGTATAAAAACTCTTGTAATTGTTGCCTTATCATGGGATGTGCAATTTGAGCAACCGCATTACTAAAATCCAATGAAGTGACAAAAGTTAAAAGCCCTTTGATTTCTTTCACGTCGTCTGGCGTAAAACGATGCCAATCAGGTACTCCGATATCGTCGATCGAGTTTGGTAACACAGAATATAAACCACTTAAACCTGACGCTACCAACACGGAAAAATTTGAATGTTCTGATATGTATATGGCTACTTCTTTATTTTTTATTGACAGTGTCATGCAAAGTAAAAGGGCATCACGAGCTCTCATCCCTATAGAATCTTCTCTATGTACAAACGGGATTAATAGAGAAAATATTATGAATCTGAAAACAAAATTAAATATTTTACAGTGATTGTCGCCTATGCGTTCCACTATACGAATTATTCAAAGCTGATAATTTTAATCGGAGAACGTTCCAGATAAATAATGAATGAGCAACCTACATGCTATATTTTCGGAGCATCTGGGACATATAAAAACCCGAATATTATACAGGTTTTAATTTAAGAACTAAAAGGTGTCACAGTATTGTAATTTATTTTTTTCGTCAATTTCCAAGAGTTTTTTAAATAATAAATTGACATCTGATACACCAATTAAACTTTAAAAACTCAAAAATAATAGCAATTTAGGATTTATAATTTAAGGAACAAAAAATTTTCAGAAAAGCTGTGCACAGCATAAATTCTAAAATGCAATCAGCAGGCAACTATTAACTCTTCGTATCACCCTGTTAATTTCACACCATTGAAAGGAAAATAGTTTTAACCAACACATGGTATTTATGACAAAACTACTTTCTGACAAGATAAAATGCAATATTAAAAAGATATGTATTTAAGTCCCATAATGAAAACATCTTGTTAGGATTAAGGAGATAAGTAATAAGATGATAAATTAAATTAACTCACCTGTCAACATTTCTATCACATTGGAAAAATAACTTTATGAAACCTATATTTTGTACCAGTAATGTGCTCAACTGATTTAAAAGGTCCACCAAAAGTTTTTCAATTTCTATAGAAAAAACTTCCCCATGACATGAATTTAATAATTTAAGCATAGGCTTGACGAAAGCATCATGTTTTAATAACAACTCCCTTGATTGAGCTATTAACATTTCATATAACTTCAACTGCTCACATCGCACAGCATTTTTATATCTGAAAAAGACAGACATTACTTCAAATTGCAATTTACTAAAAGGGTTTGAACCATCACAGCACTCATAATGTTACTTACTTTCCAGATCTCATGCTCCATTCAAAAAGCTTATCTAATATATTCTCTGTTAATAAATAATCTAGACATTGTGAAGAATTATTCATACACAACCTGTCATTTCTTTTCATGTCATAGAGAAGTAATGTGACCATTTGTTCAAGATGGTTAACAACCCCCAGTACATCATCATGACTTGGTAGTTGCTAAAAAAATGGGCAATTATAAAAGAACTTGAGCACATATGCAATGATTAAAGAATGGGTTATTTCATACAAATGTGAAAAGTAAAAAGCACAGGCCCCATTGTTTTGTTTACAAATTAAATGTAACCTGTTGCTTCGGAATGAATGATTTTAAACCCATTTTTTTTATTTACACAAAATTAATGGCAAATTTACCTGAACTCTCTGAAGTATTTTAAGAGCCTGATGCCAGTGTTCCTTAAAACTATCGTAACATGCTTGGGGATCACATTCTTCTTCAGTATTTATCACAGTTCTTGAATTTTTTGATAGGAAAGAATGATTTCGTAACCATTCCATGCTAACAGCACCCAGATTCAAGACATTTTTTGATTGTCTTTTTGTGCGGCAGCCAAATTATTATTTCACCATAAATATTTTCATGATATATTTTGATAAAAATGACATTTTGTATCAGTGACAGATTAAACGTCAGTTGAAGAACCCACTTGATGTACAAATACTGAGGTCGATTAATCAACTGTTTAAATAGTGCGTATTTCTTGTTCTGCAGAATTATTTTCTTTAATTTAATCATGAATATATTTTCATCTTTAATGAATATCCTTTCTCTCTCGGATGTTCTATCTGACATATGTTGTTTTGATGCATTCCGCGCCATCTCGCGGCGCGAGACCGGATCTCCAACCGCAGTTTGGGATATGGGGACATCTAGCGATAGGGCTTTCCATTTATGTATTTTTCAGTTGTTATTTAAAATAAAAGTCATCATAAAATTTAATTTCGACCAATTTAAGCACCCAGATATTATATAGCATAACAAATAACAAATCAACTGAGAATGTTTGCATTTAAAAATAATTTTGTACCACGTGGACGCAGTTTGATTTAATTGAAAATAAGAAATTTTCCCTCCAATTCAGTGGCGCCCTCTAGACCTTGGACGGCATTTTTGTTTTGATTGGCGTTGTGCTGTTAAAATCCATGCAAAACTGTGGAAAAGTGAGTGAAAAATATGTTTTCCACTCCGAAAAGAAATAAAGCAGGACCGAATAGTGAGTGTGAAACCGTTGTGACACCAAATAATCGTGTTTTAAATTCTACGAGTTTTAATATCACAGACAAAGACCGTGATAATTGTAGCCCAAGCCTAAATGAAAAGGATGTAATTTCTCCAGGTGAAACTCGCCGAGGAAGGCCTAGGGCTGCTTTATTAAACACGTTAATTTTGGAAGGTTCCACATCTCCTAGTTCCATTAAATGTACATATTGTAGTAGAGTTTTTCCAAGGGAAAAGTCATTGCAAGCACATCTGAGAACTCACACAGGTGAAGACATTTTGATCTTTAAATATTTGCCGTTATTTAAATGTCTGTTGATTATTTAATGTGGACGTGTTATTAGTATAGGATAATGGATTCTACGGCTTGATTGTAATCAGGAATGATGGTGCCCTAATTAGTTTTTAAACATGTTTAAGAGGAGTTTAAAATTTAAATTAAATTTGCCATTTTTAACTGAAATTTTAAAAGGCACCTTTCAAATTTTTATTTTGCTTTAAATGTAATGGAATACTTTTTGATTGGAAAGTAATTGTCAGAGATGAATGTTTTTTATTTTAAATTGGCTACTTATAGAGAATTTGTGATTGATATTTATAGTTTATATTTTGTAGGTGAAAGACCATATGTATGTGACTATCCTCGTTGTACGAGAAAATTTGCTCAGTCTGGACAATTAAAAACTCATCAAAGGCTCCATACTGGTGAAAAGCCTTTTATATGTGCAGCTCCAAATTGTTCAAGGAAATTCACACATGCAAATCGACACTGTCCAGATCATCCTGATTTTACGTTAAAGAGGTTCCTTGCTAAACCTCAGCCAAATATTGATAAAACATATGATGAAGCCCATAGTACTGAAGTAAGGCAATGGTTGCAAAATTTTGACAGGTTAGTGATATTTAATTAAATTTTTATGCTTAAACATCAAGTGTTATTTCCTTAAAGGAGAAACAAGAGCTCAGTAAAGTCAAATGAAAATCTAGACACAACACCAAAAAAATCTATTGTGTTCAAACGTGAAGAATCGGTTTTTAGTAGTGGAAGTTCAGCATATTATTCAAGTTGCTCACAAATCAGCACTGATTTAGAAAGTTCACCAAAATCTGAACTTGACGATTTAGAAACTTCAATTTGTAGCAACTCTGGAAGTTCAGAAAGTGATGTAATGGCTGGTAAGATCTTGCATTTCCTAATAAGCCTTTCCAATTTAACTTTTAATTAGCATATCTAGTAAAATGTCAATTCTACAATATTAGCGGGAATACTTTTTGTCAGTATAACTATTATCATTTTTATACAATCTAAACAATATATTTTTACCAGGAACTTGTTGGCAACCAGTTGTCAATGCGCATGTTTTTTATTTTATTATTAGAATCTCCACCACCAAAACCTTCTGAACTGCCCAAAAAAAGATGGTTACGTGAAGCGGTCCAAGACCAAAGGCTATGGGATTCCACTAATGATTTGGCCAGCCCCATAAATTGGGGGGAAGACTCCTACACAGATCCCGAGGTGAATAAAACCTCCGATTGCAGTGCTGAAAATCAGAAACGTCCCTCCGTTTTGGTCTGTGTGCAAGGCGGTCGAAGCAAGGAGATTTCAAGTGATGAAATTCAGGGGGCGATGGCTTTGGTTGAGTTAAAAAATGGACTGAGTTGTAATTTTAATTACAGAATATAGTGTTGGAGGTATTTGTGTAGAAACTTTTTGAATAACAGTGCAACTTCTTTAGCTTATATACAGTTTAACATTGATGTATTTATTTATCTTTTTCTCCTGTACAAATTTTTACAGCACAACACAATAATTACAACCAATTTTAAGTTATGGCTTAGTAAAAAAAAAGCTAAATGAATGTACACTGTATATATATATGTATATTATGCACAGAAGTTGCTTCCAGGGAACATAGTTTGAGCCAACAAAGTTTCAGTAAATTATGAAAAATTACAAAATTGGAAAATTAAAAAACAATTTTTTTGATCTCTTTTCTATTGGTGCTTTTCCTTTTTTTTTTATATAATTTCTGCTGTATATTAAAGGTACTAGTTTTTCTATTAACATTTCTGTCCCCTGTACTATTGGCTCATTTTAGAAAAAAAACATGTGATAAAGTATTTATTGTTTTCATGTTAATTTTTTGTTAATTCTGAAACAAATTGTTTTTGTTTCAAAAATTTTAATAATGTTTGGAGAAAAAATGTTTTTAATTGATTTACTAATCGGTCACTTATTTATTTTTTTCTATATTATGTAGTCCTTGTGTTTCTCATTGTTTTAGTAATCGGCTCTTTTTACAATTTAACTTTTTATCGTGAATATAAAATTTTAATAAAGAAAAATAACTTGTGATTTTTTAAAATGTAAATTAACAGAAATATATTAAGGTTTGTGTACCTTGATGCAATGATTTTTATTTTTCTCAAGTTGAATATGTACCTTAAAAAAAATTAACCTTCCAAAGAAGAAAGTTAAGATTACACAGTTAAAGAGATGACGGGTCGTAAATCCCAATCCCAGTTGTTTTTTTTACACATCCCACATGCTTTTCACCCGACGCGACTTGAAGTGTAGGAAGGAAAATAATGGGTCTAGTATCCTGAAATATTCTTCTGATCACCACAATTATTGCCTATCACTTTCATGTTTTGCTGATACTTGAAGTCCCTTTCTGCTTAATCTGGAATGAAAATTTACATTTTCTTTTTTTAGTTTTATTATTTAAACTTTCGCGGGCAAATTAAACAAATTATTTTAAATTACTCTCTGTGTCAGTATTATTTATTGTCGATTTGGTTAAAAGGTGATTAACAATTTATTTATTGCCTAATGGGGAATTAGAGAAGTAGGGAGGTGAAAAATTTGGTGGAGGAATGTGATGTGAGAAGAAAATGGCTGTTTTCTATAATAGTTCAGGAACAAAAATCTGGAGCACCAAGTTGTATATTAAATTTTATTTTTTAGTATTTTATACAATAAACAAATGTTAAATAATAATACAAGGAGGCAATTATTTAGTATACACAAAACCTAAGTCCCTATTATTTTGGTATATTGATATAGATTGAATGTTGTAAAATAAAAAATCAACAAATAAATAGAAAATGTAATTGGCTTTCAGTAAGAGCTTCACCTGGAAATATTGTCTCCAGAAACCCCCAAAACATGTTCGTAATACCTATATGAACGTAATGGGTTAGGGAGATAAGTAACAAAAAAGATATCTTAAACTATAAATTAGTACTTTGTTCGATAGAAAAATTTCAAAATTGTCACCCAAATACATTTATAAATATTTTATAAAATTTCGATAGTAAAAATCAGTCATATCAATTATAATAACCTGAAAAACTTACTAACATTAGAGCGCCCAAATGTCAATTTTATATCACTTAGTGTCTTCAGCTGCCAACATTAACGATTAACAATTTCACTGAAAAACCGAAATTTTAAACATCATCGTAGAGCTATATTTATCAAATAATTTCATATATTTATATAATACAAAACATAAATACAACATAACGTATATTTACAAGAAAAATGAAGGCAAACTTCATTATTTATATATACAGGGATTTAAACACAACTGAATTTGACGCCATCGTCGCTCGAAAAACAGTTATGGCAGTGGAGTTTTTGATTTCGAACCCTCACGTCGGTACCCATACGCCCATCGCCTAACTGTATGCGACACACGCAACACTTAAAACATTCCATGTGGTAAAATAAACATAAGCTTTCGATTATCATGGCTGCTCCACGACCTACAAAAAAGAATAATTTTCACTTCCCATATTTCAAGGTTCGGGCACCTAAAATACTTAAAAAAAAGTTCTAAATATACCCTGCAAAAACTTTCTTCATAAAACAATGTTCCCGCGTTACTATAAGATTTACAGCAGGAAATAGTATGCTTTAAAACGCAAACCCGATTGGTTTATATACAAGAAAATTCTTCATTACGGATCCGGAACCTTTTACCATCGTGACAAACGCTTTTTCAAAATCTTGTGCAATTTTCCTGTGGCAGCGTGAAAACTCCTGGAAACTTTTCTATGAAGGGAATTTTGCAAATAAATTTTGTTTTACAGGTACGCCCAGTATAAATTGTTTTTAAACTTTACGGCACAAAAGAGAATTTTCACTTTTTTGTGAAAAAATAAATATTTTGAAAAAAAAAATCAAATGAAAAGTAAGTTTTTCCAATTTCACAAGCTGTTGGAAAATTGGTTCAGTTTTCACCACCCATCCAAAAAATGAAATAAAATCAACTAAAAATCTGGCTCACGAAAGTTCCAGAAGCCCACATTTCCATAGCGATGATGGGTGATAAACCAATATATTTTCACACCTCCAATATTGCCAAATCTACTTGAAACTAACAGCAACTTTGAAATTTTAAATACAAAATCCTGTATGTCAATAGACCAAAAATTTATCTACATCATTCCATTATCTTTAACTGAGAAACATTTGAAAAATGGAGGGAAATTGCTATATCAACGTAAATTGAAATATTCAACAGCATTGAAAAACTTTTTTTACCCGTCTGAGTTCCATTCTAAGCTATTCAAAATTAACTTCTAATTTTATTTACATACTACCAACGATTTTCTAAGAATCAATATATTTTTTCAGAAACCTTCGGTAGATTGATAGAGACAAAATCTGAGTAAAATGAGAGTCTGGAAAATTGATATTTCAGAGTTGCCATTGGTTTCGGGTAGATCTAGCAACGCTGCATCTGTGAAAAAATTTCTAAAATAAGGAATATTGCGGTCGTATACTAAATTTTGAAAGGTTATTTTCATATTCATTGTAAATCACCCTCTATATACTTGCACAGAACCAGACGATTGATAGGTACCAGTTTCCTAAGAAAACGTGAAAATTGGCGGAAAATTTCTGCCCATTTACCAAAACGGGTTCAAGTGATAGAGATTCTGTACCAATGGCATGGCCATGGCATAGATAAGATATGGCATTGTTATGCCAGAGGTTATTCATAGTTATACCTAATTCATTGTTGCAGTAGGAGCATTTCTTTTTCCCACTAACGCTGAGCATACGATCTTGCAAACTGTCGTCCAATTTTGCAGGTGGTGAGTAAGGTACTGAAGGCATGGCGTGACCCATAGTTTGGGAATGATTGATGTAGGGTTTGGGACTGTATTCTTTGTTGACTACGTCAGGTCTAAAAAGTGTCAATTGTCAACACACACACCATTCTTTTTAACCGCGTTAATACCTCCTGAGCGCTTGGATACGTTCATTAGCGCTGGTTCGATTCTGTACCCTCTGTGTGATCGTGTGGATCACTGAGTCTGGCAATGGTTTCTCTTGCCGAGAATGTTGCTGCCAATTTTTAGGGGCTGGCGCATTTTTCTGGTGTTGCTCAGACAATCTTCTAAGTTCAGCTTCCTAAACAAGTTTCCTTAATGAAATATCTTCTGTTTTAAAAATACCCATAAAAACAAAGTTGGAAAACTTTAGGTTACAAAACAGGTAACGCTTCATTGAAGATTCATTCGGTATTCGGTATTAAAATTTAGTTGGTACACCCCAAAGGGCATAAGATAGAGGGGAAGGTCGCGTATACTGTTACGAATGCCATCTATTATTTGTGTCCAAGTACTAAAGTACTGTCATGGCGGTTAAAAGTAATGCGTCACACTGAAAATACTACCGTAGCTTGTAACGGATAACAGCACTTTATTTATATTTTAATAACAAAAAAAATTAAAACCATTTCGACATTTTTTTTTTCACATTTTACCTTTCAAAATTTAAATTGAATTGAACCGTACGTCCCGCGCGTTTTCCGTTTTCATGACTGCACACAATCACTAGAGGGCATTGAAACTCGTGTACGCTTTTTAACATTGCAAATAATGGGAGCCTTCCCCTCTATCTTATACTCTTTGGTGCCCCCTGTGTTTGGAGAAATATTTTTTTTTCCTGGATTTAAAAAAAAATAGGGCGCAATGTACTCGTATTATTTATTCCATTGCAGTTTCCCGGTGGATCAAAGTCGAATGTTGCCTTATTTTGATAAATTTATTTTAATCCACGCTTTCGTTATCGGATTAACCGCTTGTAAGTATTGAATATAACAACCAATCAATTCTTGTCCAAAAACCACCTTATTTGAAAAAAAAAAAAAAACGGTATCTACACAAAACAGAAAAAAAAATGCACATTACTTTTTTGTATTTTTGCCTACAATCTTCTATAATTAAGTGCAATTAAAAAGAAAGAAAAAAACTAATCAATGATGTCACATTTCTAGTTTAGAATCCAGCATAATGTTTTTTTCATAAATTCATTCATTCATTATTTTCGCTAATTATTTTGTCCTTTCAGACTAACCTGAAATACCCAGTGTTGATTATAATTCTTGACTTCTGGATTAGCCTTGGGCTGAATCCAGTTGTCGTTGTGCCTGGGCCTAGGCACGGCGCTCAGAGCTTTCAGGCTGGGCTTGGTTAGAATTCTGGGCTTTGGTTGAGTTCTCAGCGGTTTAGGCATAATTGGTTGTCTATTAACAGGTGGTGGGGATATAAAAGCCGATCTTCTAGCGTCGTGTTGTAGCTCCGGCATAGATTTTCTATGGTCAATAGCTGGTAGATTGTTGGTAATCAGCGTTCTTCTGTCAGCTGAAGCGTGATAAGCGTGCTGTATATCGGGCATCGATTTACGATAATGAATCTCTTCCGATCTTTCATAATAAGCGGAAGTCACGTCACCGATCGATTTCCGAAATTCCAAAGGAAGATGTTGGAGTTCAGGCATGGACTTCCTGTAGTCAGTATTGACATATGTGTGATAATCGTCGCATATATTTTCCAAAGAATGTCTATTGTTTTGAAGTCTTGCTCGGTTACGACTTTCTTGGAATAAACGATTTTCTCTTTGTCTCTCCAACTCTTCTCGTTCGAGTTGTCTCAACTCCTGCTCGACCTTAAGCACTTCCGAATCGTGGTCTTCCAAGAAATCTGGCGAAGACTGAAAATAATTCGAACAATAATACTTTTTAACTTTGCATGACTACTTACCTGAGGAAAATACGGACTGTTGAATTGTTCGCTTCCCAAAGTGGGCTCAAAATTTTCGCATTTAGGTGCAACGGCAGTCTTCGTCAGATTAACCACGTCCGAATTGTCTCTCGATTTTTCCTCCTTTTCCACCATTTCGATTATTTCACGTTCCTTTTTGGTAATTTCATCCTCCTCCGACGTTATACTGTTCGTATGCTAAAAAAAATATGCACGGTCTCTCCCAATTCATTTCCATCGTGTTAGGACCTATGTATTCAAGTACAAGATGTTAAATTACACAAAATAACAAGGGTAAAAAAATATACTCTGTTCATTTGGAAGACAGAGTAATCAAAATTCAATGTATATATATGTTAACTAAATTATATATAACAATCTTGGAGTGTCCGATCAAAATTAATTAATTAAATTAAGAATTATCAAAGGAAATTTTGCCCGAAACCAACATTAACTTCAGAGTTTTTACCATTTACACCCAGTATTATGTATCACCATCACGCATAAGTATAAATATATGTTTAAGTTTTACATTTATTCATTTTATGACTCAGAAAAAAAAATACAAATAAATGTAGCCCCCAGAGAGTACAAGTAGGCCCTAACAGACATATTGAAGCCATTATGTTTTTAAATTTAAATTTAGCATAAATATGTAAAACATACTTTTTTTCTGTTGCAATTCTCTTTTTTTTATTTATTTGACAGAAATTTAAAAGTCGTTTAAACATAGTAAAAGGACGAATTCAAATATAGCAAAAGTACGAATTATTATTAATTTTATTGTTGTAAAAACTTAAAAATGCTGAAAAAGAAAAATTTGAATCGTATTTATAATAGACGTACGAAAAATCACTAGTTTTCCTAAATTAATAAATTAGCAATTACACACTTATAAGCGTAATATTTTATTGCAACATTCGTACGCATTACAATCCAGATAATTTTATTACTCTCCCTGATTAAAGAGTAGACTATAAAGGGCAACATAAAAATGTTTCATATTTTGTTATAATTTACTGGTTAATTTTTTTTTCTGAAAAAATATGAAATCAACATACCTCACTGTCTTGACGTTCGTGGCTTGGCGTACTGGAGTCACCAATACTGCTACACCAAGTGTCACTCGACAATCTTCCCCTATCGATATCGAGTCCAGAATCTTGACTTTCCACTTTACTCAGAAGACCGCTACGATTCTCTTCCTGCATTTTCTTGTACAAAGACTTTTCCAACTTAGATTCTTTTTGCAAAAACGAATTTATGTCGGGCGGTTTTTCGACTAACACGTCGGGATCGATTAAGTCGATATTTGTATCGTCCAAACCTAAGAAACTCGATCTTTTGCTGTGGATTTCTTTTTTGATACGTTTAGTAGAGTTGATCCTTTTGACCGGTTTGGGGACGTGATTTTGTTCATCTTCTGGAGGCGGCGGTGGCGGCGGTTTAACTTTGGGAGGCTCTAGTTTTTTTGTCGACAAAGAAAAGTCTGCCGTTATGAAATCTACAGGTAAATTATTTGGATACGGTTTAAGCTCGATATTTTCATATATTACAGTCTTTGGTAATAAAAATGATTCAGGTACTGCTGCGGAAGACGGTACTTCTTCTGGTAAACTTTGTTCTTTCTTTTGAACGTTAATATTTTTTTTAGTTTGTCCATCCCACTTCTGAAATTTAATGTTTTCCGTCGCGTCTCGGATAAGATCTTCCAAAAATTCTTTAGTGCTGTTAATAACATCTCGAGACAGTACGTTTCGCTGACTACTCGAATTATTAATTTCATCGTCGTTTACTTGGGGTTCTTCAACGATTTGGTTTATAGCATTAGCCTCCTCCGATATTTTTAGTTTCTCTATGCATTTCGGTATAGCATTTGAAACGGCTTCGGTCTCCGTATCAGTAGGTTCATCAGCTTGACTGACTGAACATGATACGTCGGCAGTGTGAATCCCGCTATCTTCTCTATCAGTCAACTCTACTGAAGATAAAGAAGGCGGGTAATTGGTACTGGAATTGCAATAGTCACCGAGGTTGTCCTCTATCGATTTGCCGCCCATTAAATTATCCAGATCTCTATTAAACATATTCAACTTGTTCAGATACATCTCGGCTTCAGGACTAACACTCCTTTCCGATTTACAAATCGATCTTGGTTTTTGATTTTCAAATGCCACCGACCCGTTCGACTTATCTAACAGATAGTTGCTTATCTTGTTTGGTTTGGATTTTTCTACATTATTATTCTCATTATCGGCTTGCGTATTGAAATCCATTAATCTTTGCTTTACAGATATTTGTATGTCACTTTTATCCACACTTTTAATTGATTGGTCGGTGGATCTTTCTAAACTTTTGAGTCTATCTTTGATGCTCCTCGCGTTGGCGAAATCCTCGCTTAAACGGCGAAAACTGTGGGTTTCCATGTGATTGATTTCCAGAGGTTTATCCACCTCGAACAAACCTTTTCGTTTTGAAATTTCGCCTTTCGGTAAAACGCTCTGCGCTTCAGAGTATTCCTTCGATTTAATAACGTCTCTGTTTTTGGTGAAAATCGATTCGTCCACCTTAATTTTCGATTGGATTCTCGATCGGTAATCCTGTATCGCGCCTTCGTACGTATATTGTTCTATCGGTTCTTTGTTCGTGTTAAAATCGTTAAATTTATTATCGAAATTTAAACTGGAAGCCTTGTTCGGAACATTCGGTTTAGGTTTCGAAGGTCTAACCGGAGTTGAATTGGCTGTAATGTTATTTAAGTACTGTCGATTTACATGTTCGCTTTTTTTCGTAAGATTGTTTGTTTCGTCTTCGCTTTGACTTTGGTTTGAATTACTCGACGTGTCTTTGTTGCCCGTTGAGTCGAAAGATTGGTGGTCCTTTTCGTCCTAAAACGTGCGTAATTCTCGTAAAACGCTATAAAGCGGCATGGCAATTATAACAAACCAAAATGCTACAGCTGTCGTCCGTATCGACATCTTTGATGCTGTTCGTTTTCGAACTACTACTACCTATACCGTAATCGCTTAAATCATTCGATTCGTCATCGTATATCGGTATTGTAAATTTAGGGCGACCTTTTTCTTTCCTAAAAATTAAAAATGCGTTCCAGAAAACATTTCACTTTTAGCAAATTTTCTAGATATACTTTCTATTTACATTTTAAAATATTTAAAATAACAAAAAAAAAGAAGAGAAATAAGTTTGAAATTAATCGAAAAAACCAGTAAACTTTTTAGTACTAATGAAACGCTTAATTTGATTTTTTTTAGATACACCTTACTTTATCTCTCCTTTGTTACGACTTATTTCACTTCAAAGTGAATGTGGACGGGCATTATATATTTTAAATATTTTTAGAGCTTAAGTCGTAAGAAAAATATTAAAAAAAAAGAGAAATAAGTTTGAAATTAATACAAAAAAAACAGTAAACTTTTTAGTGCAAAAAAAACTCTTAGTATTAAGCTTTCATTTGATTTTTCTAGATACAATTTCCTTTATCTCTACTTTGTTACGATTTATTTCACTTGAAAGTGAATGTGGACGGACATTATATATTTTAAATATTTTTTAGAGCTTAAGTCGTAAGAAAATTTTGAAAAAAAAAATAAGTTTGAAATAATAAAAAAAAGTAAACTTTTTAGTGCCAATAAAACTCTTAGTATTAAGCTTTCATTTGATTTTTCTAGATACAATTTCTTTATCTCCACTTTGTTACGATTTATTTCACATTAAAGTGAATGTGGACGGGCATTATATATTTTAAATATTTTTTAGAGCTTAAGTCGTAAGAAAAATATTTAAAAAAACGAAATAAGTTTGAAATTAATAAAAAAAGTAAACTTTTTAGTGCCAATAAAACTCTTAGTATTAAGCTTTAATTTGATTTTTTTATATACACTTTCATTTATCTCTACTTTGTAAGCATTTATTTACTTTAAAGTGAATGTGGACGGGCGTTATATATTTTAAATATTTTTTAGAACTTAACTCATAGGAAAAATATTTAAAATAACAAAAAAAAAGAGAAGTAAGTTTGAAATTAATAAAAAAAACAGTAAACATTTTAGTGACAATGAAACGCTTAGAATTAAGCTTTAATTTAATTTTTTTAGATACACTTTCCTTTATTTCTACTTTGTTACGATTTACTTCACTTTAATGTGAATGTGAACGGGCATTATATATTTTAAATATTATTTGGAGCTTCAGTCGTAATTGAATGAATAAATAAATAAAGTTAATTAATATTACTTTTCAATCGGCTTTGTTATTTCAATAAAAATATTTATAACTGCGACATATAAACATAAATTTCAATTAACTAATCAACTACAATGGACTAAAATACCGCCATTTTCTTGTTTTTAAAGAATATAACTTAAATATAACATAAATGAAATTAATTAATAATTAAGATTTCATCTAATAAATTATTAACTCAATTTGTAGTTAAATTAATTAAAACCTTGAAAATGATTGGACTAACCTAAAGCTTATAATTGTCTAGGCAATATCTTATTCATAAAATGAGAAGCAGATTGTGAAAATAATAAAAGATAGTAGCAGAGCTAACGCAAAAATGTATTTGGGGTCCTCTTTTCATTGTTGGCGATTTAAAACAGTCGCTTCGAAATTCTTTCGTAGTAGTAGTAGTCCTAGAATGGTTCACAAAAAATTGATTCCAAATGAAATTAGGACTAACATACTTTTGGGGAGGAGACCACTTGATACGAAATATTTAAAACATTTGAAAACCAATAATTAGGATAATTATGAAAATAGAGTATTTAAAGAATTGTGGATCTAGGTTTTAAAAGTTTTAGTTTAATGACTGATCATACAGAGTTTACATTAAAAATAGCTATGGTACCAGATCCACAGATATGAACTACATATTGCACAGAGTTACATTAACCGAGAAATCACAAAACATTTAGTTTTTCTCAATATGCTTGAAAAATATGTTAGCACAGCAATAGTTTAAATCCCAACTAAGCAAGAATTTTTTTTAAGTCTAGCAAAATTTTCACTTATGGGACAAAAACTTTCTGGTATTAATTTGATAACCTAGAAAATGAAAGAAAATGATGCTTTAGTTTTATATAACTTTCTAAAATGTTATTTCTTAGCATTACTCTAGTACCTATATTCTGTAATATTTGACACTTAGGCGCCTAAATGGAAGATTTTATTTAAAAAAAAAAGGAATATTCAACATTTACAAAACATTTCTCACAAAAAATGTTAATTCGTTTACTTGTTAAGTGATGCAAAAAATATTTTTCCAATTATAAACAAATCCAATTTTGAAGCCGTTTTTTTTTTCAATTTTACATTTAGCGGAAAATTCTACTTATTAGTTTCCGTGAATATGAAAAATTTCCGAATATTTCCAAAATTTTCAGGAAGAAATTAAAATTCACATAATATCTAAGTGGTACTATCAGTGGCTTTGAGTGTGGACACCCTGTAGCCTTCGTATATTAATAAGTAAAGTTGACTTATGGGAAAAACGATCGAATTTAGGACCAGAAAATATTTCCCAATTTCTCAGCGGTAAAATAAAATGGATTTATAACCCATAAACCGCCTTTATGACAATCGTAAACTAGTTTCAAGTTGGTCAACACCGCCCAACAATGAATCTCACATCTTAATTGTTTCCAACAATATTAAGTGACCAAGATGTGGGATGTCACGTTTGGGCACTAAACGCTATTTCCTGAGCAATTTTAAGCGCATTTCCTTTGTAACGATCGTAAATTTTCTTTAACAAAGCTCGAATCGAATTTTCAGTACTTAGTAGTGACTAAAGTACGCACTTCTGATTTTTATTACCCTATTCCCCGAACTAGTCCATAAAATTCGAAACTACTGTGCCCCTGTTTCTAAGAATGTATATATGCCCAATATACCACACTGTAACAAAAAATACGAAAAGAAAAGATGAAATTCTAAGCAAAACAAAAGGCTAGGTTAGATATCTAATTTTTTTTGTGTAAGAAACTTATACAGTGCCCAAAGTTACGGTCAAATTAAAACAGCGGAAAGGGAAGAGAATTTCCAGTAAAAGCCCTACCCAATTTTTTTTCTCCACTATATTTTATAGACTATTATATAAAATAAAATAAAAACCATGTTGTTATTGATTGCAATTTTTTTGATAAAAATGTATTACCAATACTAAAAAAAGCTAGTAGTAATTGTTTCCTTCTTAATAAAGTAAAGTATAAGTAAAATACTAACAAAAATTAATCTGATGAATAAAAATATATATTTAACACAGTAGAGGAACAAATTATAATAATTGCGAAACCAAAATTATTATAAAATACTAACTGAACACTAACTACAGTTTTGGCTAGTTTAATATCAAGCTTTTGTCGAAAACACTAAATTTTTAATTTACAAAGAACATATTAACAAAAAAACTATCTAATTTTGTGCGATCAGTCTAGGGTCATTGATTTCGACTTTTATGACACTCAAGAAAACAAAGACGGTATATACCTAAAGAATTTTGCTAAACTGTAGGCAAATATCCTGGAAGTATAAGCAATGCCAAGACCATAACGGTAAATTAATATATATAACGCTTTTAACACAAAACTGTGTTAATTACTGAATGACGTAGCCGTGTCAACATTTTTAACATTTTCTTGCGTTTCGAGGAATAAAAACTGAATTCTTCAACGTACGTTTCAAAAGAATGTCGTAAATCTTATACAACGATATACTCGTTCAAGAACTCCAAAATGGCGACAACCTTGCTAAAATTTTCATAGAAAAAATTTTACACAATGCGAGCACATTTATAGGGTGTTTGACACACATAATTTTTGACAGAGTTTGCACTAAATCCGCATTCTCAAATTCCATGACTTTTTCGGGGATTCAATTATAAATAGCACAAAAAAATGGATCTAGTGGACCCCTTTATTTTGGGTAAATTACAAGAAAAATATCTGTTCATTATTTGTTTTGGTTAGTTTTCATTGCAGTGCGGAGAGATAACTGTATGGGAATTAATAATCTATAAATAAACGCCCCAAGTTGGATGCAATGGGATATCGAAACTATTGGTTTATAAATAAACATAACGCGTTCTCCAGGTCAGCACAAGGTATGTGATCCGAGAACTAGTTTTAATTAGAATTTGGGAAATGTACGTTTCCTCGCCAATACGTTTCGTAATCGTGAGAGAGTTTTACAAACATTATATCTAACGAAACGAATTTTTTCTCAATCGGATAGAAAAATATAGCAAATGCGTTGTTGTAGAACAATTAGAAACGAAAAATATTACCTTTCCTCTATCATTTCACTAAACGTCTTGCTCTTTCTTCGCGACCTTTCAAATTCCTCTTGTTCAGTCAATTTTTTCACCTCGACCACTCGTTCTATTATGTGCTCTTGCCGTTTTCGTCTGCTGCTCTTCCAATTGTCCAAATTCTTAAAAAAAAATACAATTTTGCTAAACATCAAGCAATGGTAATACGAGAAGAAATATCAAGCATAAAGGGGCTTCAATAATATTTTTGTATTTATTTCCAAAAAGTATTAAAGAAAAATTTTTGCTCCCATCAAACATGAAATTGTTACACGGAACTGGAAACACGAAGCCATTACAAGACCTTCATATACGTTAAAATTGTAATTTTTTTTATGAGTAAGAAGGAATTGTGTAATTTTTAAAATGCAGGGTTATTTATTTATATATTACAAAGAAGACAAAGTTTATAGTATCTACGTATCCAAAAGACATATCAGGCGATTTGTAGAAAATACTTTTTAATTTTTGTCTTGCCTGTCTGTTCATCAATCGAAAATTTTGAATGACTAAAAACTCACATTATCATTAAGAACACCTTCTTACAGAACTCCCAAGTTAACCACTAGAGCAACTACAACTTTCTAATTTAATTTATTAATTCATTTAATTAATTAATTAATAATTAAATAGTTAAAATTAAATAATTTTTAGTCCTGGTAACTAAATAGTACCACAAGATTTGGGATATCGTAAGGATAAGAATAATTGTATTTTGTCCATTGATCAAGTCGCACCTATACATCCAGGAATATATGCTGACATTAGTTAGTCTAAGATTATCTTCTGAAATTTCTCAATAATCTTGCTTGCTAAAAAACATGCCACTCATGAAATTTAAATTGCCTGCAAACAAAGACATGGTATATAAATTTTATCGCAATCTCGCTATCGAAGTCCTTACACACCCTTTGGAAACAGACCAGAGCTTTACTTATTAACGAAATAATTTATGAAAAGCTAAAACCCAATTTAATATACACACCCAGATCTTTTATCTGAGTATTCTGTCTATATTGCTGGTATTTAAAAAGGTAAATTAGAGCTGCAGAAGGTTCGCTGATATTTACTTGTAGCCTATTTGTTTTGCCGAAATCTCACAATTTTGACAGTCTTCTTGAATTAAAACGAAGAACAATAATAGTCCCAGATGAGGCCCTGCGGAACACCAAACGATATTACAAAATTCTCCATTCTGTGTCCAACAAAAAACTAATTATGGACGGAAGAATAAAATAGAATAATTTATTTGAAAACGGATTAGAGGAAGGAGAAATCCCCTCTCAGCAACCCAGAGATTTTTTTTCAAGAATATGACATTTTAAATAAAATTTTTACCAAATTTTGGTTTGATATTTTGTGACTAATAACTTTTTGTAGACTTAAACCTCATCAGGAGGACTCAATCAATGTTTTTTTCTTTAAACAGCTTTAGCTTTTCCAGTGCTGTCTTATTTATTAATGATATGAGCGGTTCTATTATCAAATCTTTAACGCTAACCAAATCCATAACAGGTGCAGAATTATTTTTAAGCTTATTATAAGTTCAATGACTTCATCCTTATTTGTTATGTGACAAACTGATCTTAAATATATAGTCAGTATAATTTGCTCTTATTTGTGCAAACCAGACATAAAATGTTTAGGAAGACTCAAAATTGGTTAGTTATAAATAATTTCAAATTAATAGGAAGATCACGCGATTTTCTTTTCATCTCAAAAAGTGATAAAGATGTCAAAATATATCGAAGTTTTTGGATTACGTATACATTTCCCAAAGGAAAATGGTTAAAAGTGTCATGTCGTTGAAATTCGAGGAATAATTAATTTGTTCAAAACTATTCCATTAATTTTAGTCTTAGGTGGTTGAATTATTGCATAATTTGTGCAATGTGACACAGTATTTTTTATCATTGTAGAAAACTTACCACTATTTTCGGGTGCAGTTTTTCTGTTTTATAGTTTTTTTATTGACAATTAGCATAAAAATTTTAAATTCTAGTTTAAGAATGATTTTTACAGAGAGGCGCGAGGTGGACCAATTCGAAAAATATGCGGTGGGAAGTATATATGGGTACGTCCTGTATCCACGGGCGTTCTTTACCTTGCCGCCACTCACCTGTTGCCAGTCTTCAGTTTCGTCTCGAATTTCCTTCCTCTCTTTCTTGATTTCCTCGACCTTCTTTATCTGTTCCTGAGCCTTTTGGGACAAAGGACACGGTGCAACTTTGACGAATTGCATCGGGTTTGTCGCTGGTTTCGGTGGCGGTGGTCTCGTGATTCGGCATTTCGTTGGGACGTATTCGGTATTCGAATTCTGAAATAAATAAGCCAATATTAGCTGAGAACGAATATACACAACTATTTATTAAAATAACACAACGTGTTTTATGTAAGTAGTAAATAATAAAATGCGTAGGTTGGTATAAAGTTATTTATTACTCACGGATTAAAAATGTTTCAATGCGAAAAGTAATCAACGCTAAATAAAGGTGAGCCTGTTGATTTGTAACTCACCGTATTAACATTCTCGCTACTTTGGATCATTGTAACCTCCGTGTGTGGTGACACACAATAAACAATTGCTCTAAATTTCAAGGGTAATGGAAACGAATCAGTTGCCGAGGATGTCTGAACTAAACAAGAGTTGACATACTCGTAGCCTATATTACTGGCCTTTCGTGTCTAATAACATATCATTATGTCTTTTTTTTATTAACGGGGTCCGGAGAGCCTAAGCTAATCCTAAACCTAATATCACAGATAAGTATCACAGTCGGTTACATATTCACAGCCGTATGAGATCCATCTCTTACGTAAAAATTGACAAGCAGAGTAACCAACTATCGGCAAAAATCAAATTATGTATCTCTACATATTTGTACATAAAACACAAAACGTTCGACTCTTGCACAGGATTCTTGACAGTTAAGATTTCGGTTTAGGTTAGTATTTTGGTGAAAAAATGATTCAGGTAAAGTAAATATATATATTTTTTAATTTCCATTCTCGAAAATGTAGCTTGCGTTAAAAAGCTATTCTTCAAAACTAATAATATCTTCATATTCATAATATCGTATAACGCAAGTCTACAGTGCAAAGTCAAATCCCGAGATCGGATCACCTTTACAAGGTGGATACTAGGTATAGCAAACGAGACCTAGGATAGTTCTGCAAATTTTGTCAGAAATAAAAGGAAGCTTTGGCAACGCATCTTCAAAAGTATCGTCAATCTCCCATTATAAAAGTATTCTAGTTTCAATTGCACCTCATGACACTGGGCAAGTAATAAAGTCTTCTAGTTTCAGTTGGAAGGGATACGGCCTCATGGCATTGGGAAATTAATAAAGGAATTTAGGAGTTCAGTACTGTTCATTTAGAGTAATTTCCAAACAAAAGAAAATAGTTTTACCACATAGTAACTCAATTTTAATTTTATGATGAAAATTGGATTATTTTGGTATAAATCGAATTGCAACTGATGCTCCTCTAATGGCGGGATGAATATTGAAGTATTTTTCATTATTGTAGAGTGCTTAGTGAATTATGCGAAAATAATCCGATTTTTAAAGACACTTTTATTTTACAAGCATAACATTTAAAGATGCTTCTTAATTATCTTCTAAAGTAAACCACAAAATATAAAATTCACCTTTCATCAGCGGTAAAATCACAAATTTTAAACCCCGAACCCTGTAAAACGCAGAAAAAGCTTCTCTGTCAAGAACATCTAGCTTTGGTAAACTACCTTCAAACTTCCAGTTTCCCATGAATGCGAACGTGTACGAAGTACAAAATAATTACAACAACGCCTATGCAAACGATCTGCCATCTTATCCATAACATTTGAAAAACTTTCTGATACCATTAAGAAGAAAACTTAAAAACTGAACTGAACCTTTAGTGCAGGGAATCTGCATAGAAGTAAACTACTACTATACTACTCTACTACTATATACTACTCTAAAAAAATAAATAGAATTAATCTACATAAACTATCATTTTACCATAACCAGTTTTATTTGTCTTTTTTTTTTAATTGTTATGTTACTTATTGGCTTTTTTTGTGCAAAACGCAGCCCTCATTAAACTCACCCTTCTGTCGTAGCTTTCCTTATCATGATTGTGACCGTCCATATTTCCTCGCTTTTAAAATTTCATGCTTATTGTTTTGATTTTTCTGTAACAAAGAAAAAGCGTATACAATCAACTGTAACGTTCGTTATTAAACATTTACAAAGCAATGAGATTTTTTGGGTGCCATTAAGATACTTTCACCCCACGTTTAAGCGCGAAGTTTGTTTATTTAAGCGCGATTTTGTTTTATCGAGGTATTAGCTGCCGTAACATAAATCATTTACTTACTTGCTTTTAACTTTTGAACGGTAAATAAGTTGATTACTAGTTAAAATCCAAGAATTCTGCCCTTCGTGATGGGGTGAGAAAAAAAAATTAACAACTAAATTATAACAATTAAGAACTAAATTGAAATTTAACAACTACCAAATTCCGGTACTGGTTACCGGTACATTGTTGCAGCCATGGGCAGTTTTTCAATAGATTAGGTTCTTTTTAGCACGGGAATTTATAATTGTGTAGAAAGTTGAGCTTCTCTTAGTAGTGATTTGGTTTTTATAAACAGTTACCCGACTAATTAATATGTTTTTCAATCTAAACACACAATGAGGGAGGCTATTCTCAAATATACTAAATATCGTATGTATGTCAAGGCTTATTACAACTAATTAATCTAATTATGTTTGGAGTAAAACAAATTGTACACTAATTGGTGGTCCAAAATGAAAATGAGACCAAAATACCAGCATTTCTTTGTATCAAAATATTGCGATTTGTCAAATAAACCTATGTCCTAAAGTCAATATGTATCGAGATACAGGGTGATAGAAGTAATTTTATTTCTTCGTTCACAATTTTCAAAATATAGGCACAGCAATCAGATGATGTAATCAGTTTTGCACACACTGTTTTTTGCTAAAAAAACCACAATATTTTTTTGTATATTCTCAAATATAATTTCTGATAAGATATTGTCCAAATTGTTCTCAAGATATAATTTTATTCCAAAATAGTGGCCATATAACTATATAACAAACTAAGCGACTGTTTACGTGAAGAATAAAATTCAGGATGCTTAAATTTGAGTATATGCAAAAAAAATATGATGATATATTTGCATCTGCAACTTATTGTACAACTGATTACACCATCAATTTGATCACCCTGTATCTCCGTAAGTTTTGACTTTAGGACATATGTCCGTTGACAAATCGACATATTTTGATACAAAGTATATGCCGGTATTCTATTCGCTTTGAAACACCCTGTATATTTAAAAAGCGTATTATAATGAAAACGTCTTTGTATTGTATTATACATATTCACGGTGATCGAAAAAAAAAATTAATTGCTGGATAAATGTTCTCGCTATTGTTTAATTGGATTAAATGTAATTATAGTACTATGAGAAAAATTCACACAGATAGCAGAATACTCGAGATATATCTTCTCATATTGCGGCAATATCCTTTTATTGATACGTATTTTCATTATATTTGTTATAATTACCTACAATGAAATTTAAATGGAATTTAATTCAATACTGAAATGCGTATTTCTAAATGCAAAACTCTGGTAAAACAACTTCATTGCATAACAGAACGAAAAATGTTTATGTATTAGATTTGTTTAACACTTCGTGTAGTGCGTTCATATACACCTATGTACTGCACTTTCTAGTAATTATTATTATAAATGATTATTTCGTATTACTGGGAGCCAATTATCGATATTATTCACTTTGCAACGTTTTGCAACGAATAGGTTGCCATGGCATTTTATGCAGAGAGTGAAGCTGTAATTGGTATTCACTAGGTAGCCGGCACATTTTTTCTTAATGAAATGCATAGTTTTCCCGTAATTCTATAGGTATTTTCGCAGCATTCATTAGTATTTCGAAATCCTTACTTGAAAAACGTACAACGAATGTACAGGGTGATCATTTAAGGCAATACCAAGGTTTTATGCGATGCTGTTGAATTATATCCTTTAATGTGTTGTTTCGCAATCAATTTTCAATTATCACATGCCGTACACCGATTGCCAACAATAAAAATTCGCATTTTTAAGATCAAAGAAATTGTTAATATAACAGAATACCCGAAATTTTGAGTCATTCGGTTCAATCTTATAACTAAAAATTCATTTTTTTCCATACAGGCTTTTGAAAATAGCTGAACATTCATTAAATGTAACTTTAAATATCCTATCAAGGCTTTAGATCTTATTTAATTGGCACATTTGTCTTGTCATAACCATCAAACGTGTTACTTAACTGCGAGCTGAAACAATGGAATAACTTAGACATGGCAATCATTTTATTTTGCACAATTTTTACAACACTAAATGAAAGTTGCCTCAAGTTTACGGCTTTGCGAAAACATTTGTTCCTGTAATTTTGAAAGACATACATATTTACATATGCACTGCAGATTTTATTTACAAGCAAACTTCAAACAGTAGCGTAGCTGCAGCAAAGTGAACTAAGGATCATTTTTGACTTATATCACTGATTTACGAGCTAATTTATATATAACCCAAGTAACGTGCACAAGAAGGAATGTAGACGGTAAAAAAATCGATTTGTACTTATAATTCCTCAGAATTCATTTGCAATTAGTTGTGGGATCTCAAAGTATCGAAGATTATCTTTTTAGAAGAAAATACGAACGAATAGCATTATACGGGATGATTGCAAAAGTTGATAGTACCAAGCCACTAATATATTATTTTTTAATTAACGTAACTTATATGTGGCATAGTTTAGTTCCATTATCAATTGTTGTATGCAAGTTTCATTCTATTCTACACTGTATAATACATTTGTTTATTACACCCAGACCAAGAATATTATTCTCTGGGTGGAATCTCACTACTAACCACTAAACTCACCTGACTATAACTGGTTATAGTAATTTCATTAATCATTTATAACAAAGCAAATAAAATGAATGATATACACTAATAAATTACCGTATTTTTCTGAAAATAAGTTATATACAATTGTAAGAGTAAGAAGGAATTTTTAACGCTGTCTATTCTTCTTGCTACCGGTGTACAATTTGCAAGAGATGACTGGTGACAGAGAGTACATTATATGCTAATGATTTGAAATGGTATGGTAAAATGAGAAACAAGTATGATATAAAGTACTTAAAATGTCAGATATGAGTGGTCAGTGACATTTGAGACTGTTTCCGTGTGACAATAACAAGGGAAAAATAGATAAGTAAGAAAAAGGATTTGATGGTGACGTTAGCCGTTAGATGACGACTAAATATTACAAATTAATTGATTGAGTAGATCAATTTATTTTAGTTACAACTGAACTTAATATACTACTTAGAAATGAAACAACGCTATTTCAATTTTACGATTCTTCCACTGCAATGGAATGTTGTTTCTTTTTTGTACAAGACTCCTTGTTCCTGTCTTGTCCTGTTTCAAATTTCTAAGTCTCCCCTACTTTTTTCATGGAATCTTTTGGTTAGTCCTTCCGGCTCAATAAACTTTTATTAATGGTGCCCAGGAGTTATACCATCATGAGATGAAAGGATCTTCTTCTGAACGCGTGAGACTAACCAACTAGTGTAAAATGTTTAATAAGAATTTGTTTAAAGAAGCCTTTTGGCTTCCCCACCTTAAAAGGTTGTCTTAGGTTAGATTGGGTTAAAATAAAATACATTAAGATGAGAAGCTAAGCTTCATTTTCGTCTTCTGGTTACTTAGTTAAATATTACTCAAAATAATTAATTCAATTAACTAATTATGAATTATATACACTGCAACTTCATTCTGTTGATTACGCAACGAATAAATAAAGATATCCTCCAAAAAAGGTAGGGATAGTTACATCTTATACACCGTACAGAATTAATAAATGCAAATCATGTTTGACGCCATAGTTGTACGGTAAAGAAATTAAAAACAATGTGAGCGCCTGTTTTACTGTTACAACATACTGTGCATGCGTACGCATATTTGTTCTACATAGCCAAAAATGATTTTTTATGGTCTAATATCCTACCGACAAAATACGACACCCGTATTTCCGGCCTTCAAAATGTCAACAAACCGTGTAACGAATTATCGCACCTTAGAGATCGTACCCTATCGGAAACATGATTACTATTAACACTTATCTCGAGAACTGAGCTAAAATCTGTTCATAGATATAATAAAGTGACTAACTGATACGAATTAAGGAAAGACCCGGGCAAGCTGTAAGAACGAAATATGGCCGAACAGGTCCGTACTTTGCTTAGAATTTAATTATTTGGGGTTTTGTTAGGAAAGATACTAAACAATATTTATTTATTTATGTATAAATCTAAAATAAAATTACAAATTATTTTTATTACCTACTTAAATTACTTAAAATTATCCACATAATATGTCAGTATCACTATCGTTATCATCGCCTATTCTAATTATTATTTGTTCTCCTTTCCTATGTGTTTAACAGAATTTGCCCAACTTCGTGGAGGGATGTTAAAAACTTCGGTTTCTATAAGTTTGAAGACATTGGAGTTAACACGGGGAAAAACATTGTTACGACGAATGGTAGATTTCAGTTGGTGCCAAACATGTTCAATGGGATTAAATATACAGTGGTAAGGTGGAAGCCTTAAAACTGTATGCCCTAGATTTTTTGCATAATTATCACAGACCTATTCCTTTTGTGGGTTCAAGCTTTGTAGAACCTCAATTAATTGCTTTTTGGTATAATCTTCGTGAAAATAAATGTCGTTATTATACATGTAGTTTCGAATTGTTGGTTTTGTGTCACATGAGGAAGGAGTTTTAGTCAACTGTCTACTGTGATAACTTGCATTGTCCATTACAATGACGCTATTAGGAGGAACTAGTTTGTTTTTAAACCAACTTTCAAATAAATCAGTGGTGGTGTCTTCATGGTAATCCAGAGAACAATCCTTAATATTTTTCGCAGACAGAGAAAGTCCATTTGGAATCCAAATCTGCAAACCCCAATTTTTTCTAGATATTCCCGTCGCCATTTCCGAATTCTAAAAGATTCCATTAAATATTGCCTTTTGTCAATTTTTTTAAATCTAAAACCCATGGTGTTGAATACACACCCTT